GAACTCTCCCAGCCTTCTTATCCAAACAACTTTAAAATAACTCTTAAAATCAAATTTTGGAGCAGCGCAGCCAACAAGAGGTCAGACTGAGATATTTTTCTAGCCTAAGACAACTCCGGAGGTCAGTAGGAGAGGTCTGTGATACCAGAGTAAGTATTGGCCTGCAGTGCAGCATGTTAGCACCATGGGAAGGCCCTGGAAATGCCTGTGATAGCAGCAGCAGTTTTGAGAGTTCTCAGCTTAGAAACAATAAGGGGGGAGGGTCAGACAACTGGTCAGAAAGAGATTACAGGAGACCCTTTGCTGGCACTTGGGTATAGCTGGTGCTGAGTGGCAACTCTTTTGCCCTTAAGCAGTTCTGGGTTGCAGTTCCAGCGTGGAGAGGAGCACTTCTGATTAGTCACAAGGGAACAGAGACTCTAGTTGCAAAAACAAGGTCAAGGAGGAGCACTAGTGTTGTGGCTGCAGGGGAGCGGATACCCTTCCTGGGTAGAGACCAGAGTGAAGACCAGGAAAGCAGTGACCACACTTCTCCCTGGATCATGCCACCTTGGAAGCACCTAAAACATGTAGACCCCCAGAACTAGCTCTGAAAACAGTATCACAAAAACGGCTAAAGCTTGGGATGGTGGCTTCACACCCCTAGGTGAGCAGTGCCAAATTTTAACATAAAATTCAAAGTCAAGAAATAGGCTGGAAAAATGAGCAAATGACAAAAAAAATACTTGACCATAAAAGGCTACTAGCAGGTGGTAGGGAAGACCAGTGTATAAGCCAACAGTGTGAATAGCTACAAGCAAAACCTCAAAGATAAGTGCTAATTGGACCCAAAACAAGAGCTGGTAAAGTTAAAGAAAAAGATTAGAGTGGTAGAGGAAAAAAAAATGAAGAAAAGAAATGAGAGTGATACAAGAAAATTATGAAAAGAGAATTAGCAGGTTGGTAAGAGGAACAAAAATTCACTAAAGAAAAGAATTACTTAAAAAGCAGAATTGGCCAAATGGCAAAAGAGGTATGAAAGCTCACTAAAGAAGATAATTCATTAAAAATTAGAATTGGCCAAGTGGAAGCTTGGCCATAAGATGTCAAGAAATGATAAAAATCCAAAGAAAGAAAATATAGAAGAAAATGTGAAATATCTCATCTGAAAAACAGCTGACCTGGAAAATAGATCAAGGAGAGATAATTTAAGAATTCTTGGACTACCTGAAAGCCATAATCGAAAAGAGAACCTGCACATCATATTTCAAGAAATTATAAAGGAAAACTTCTCCAGTATCTTAGATCCAGAGGGCAAAATAGAATTTGGAAGAATTTATCAATCTCCAGAAAGAGATTCCAAATGAATCCCTTCACCCCTTCCAGGAATTTTATTGACAAATTCCAGAGCTTCCAGGTTCAAAGAGAAAATATTTCAAGCATCCAAAAAGAAACAGTTCAAATATTGTGGAACCACAGGTAGAATCACACAGGACTTAGAGCGTTAAAGGAGTGGAAAGCTTGGAACATAATATTATGAAAGGCGAAGGAGGTAGCATTACAACTTGAATGTAATCCTGCAGGAGGAAAAAAAATGGATATTTACTGAAATAGAGGACTTTTAAGCATTCCTGATGAAAAGACCAGAGCTTGAATAGAAAATTTGACATTCAAACATAAGACTCAAGAGAAGCATAAAAGGGTAAATATGAAAGTAATCATAAAGGAGTCAATAAAATTGAACTGGTTATGTTCCTATATGGGAAGATGATTCATTAACTGCTGAGAATTTTATCATCGTTAGAGCAGTTAAGAGTCTACATAGACGGAGGACATGAATGTGAGTTGATTATGTTGGGAGGATCTCCAAAAATAAATAAATAAATAAAGCATGAGAAAGAAATGCACTGGGAGAATGGGAAAGGGAGAGACAGAATGGGGAAAATTTTCTCACATAAAAGAGACGTGCAAGGAGGAGCTTTTATAATGGAGGGGGAAATGAGGGGGGCAATATTTGAACCTCACTGTTATTGGAATTTCTTAAAAGAGGAAAGAATATACATGCCCACTCAGTTGGATATAGAAATCTATCTTACCCAATAGAGAAACAGGAGAGGAAGGGGTTAAGAGATGGGGTTGGGGGGATGATTAAAGGGAGGACAGATGAAGGGAAGCAGTGATCAGAAGAAAGATGGATTTTTTGAGGAGGGACAGGATGAAAAGAGAGAGAGAAGGATAAATAGAAGAAAATAAGATGGAGAAATACACAATAATCATAACTGAATGTGAATGGGATGAACTTTCCCTTAAAATGTCAGCAGAGAGCAGAATGGATTAGAAACCAGAATCCACCATCATATTGTTTACAAGAGACATTTGAAACAGAGACACACACACAGTTAAAATAAAGGACTGAGGCAGAATCCTTTATGCTTAAGCTGAAATAAAAAGGCAGAGGTAGCAAATATGATCTGACAAAGCAAAAGCAATAATAGACCTAAGTAAAAGAGATAATCGGGGAAACTATGTTATTCTAAAAGGTACCACCACAGACAATGAAGCAATATAAAAATTTTTACAGCATTTCTATGATAAAGGGTTGATTTCTCAAATATATAGGGAACTGAGTCGAATTTGTAAAAATAAAGTCATTCACCAATAAATGGTTAAAGGCTATAATAGGCAGTTTTCAGAAGAAGAAATCAAAACTATCTATAGTAATATGAAAAAATACTCTAAATCATTGATTAGAGAAATGCAAATTAAAACAACTCTTAGGTACCACCTCATACCTGTCAGAAATAAGAAATGCTGGAGGGGATGAGGGAAAATAGGTACACTAATAAATTGGTGGTGGAGTTGTGAACATGCCCAAATATTCTGGAGAACAATTTGAAATTATGCCCAAAAGACTATAAAACTGTGCATACCCTTTGATCCTGCAATGCCATTACTAGCTCTGTACCCCAAAAAGATCAAAGAAAAAAGAAAAGATCCTATGTGTACAAAAATATAATAAGGAATTGGAAATTGAGGTGATGCTCATCAATTAGGGAATGGCTGAGCAAGTTGTAGCATATAATTGTGATGGAGTGCTAATGTGCTATAAAAAATGATGAAGGGGGTGGTTTCAGAAAAAAAATGTGGCAAACTTAGATGAACTGATAGAATGAAGTGAGAAAACCAGGAGATCATTGTATACAGTAAAAACAGTGCTGTAATGATGATCAGCAGTGAAAGAATTTCATACTCTTATCAATGCAATGATCCAAGACAATTCCAAAGGACTCATGATGAAAAAATACTTTCTACCTTCAGAGAGAACTGATGAACTGACTGCAAATTGAAGTATAATTCTCTCTCTCTCTCTCTCTCTCTCTGTCTCTCTCCCCCTCTTCCCCTTCCCTTCTCCTCCCTCTCTCTCTCCCTTCTCTTTCCCTCTCTCCCTCTCTCTCTCTCTCTCTCTCTCACCCAATCTCCCATTCCCTCCCTTTCTTCTATATGACTAATATGGAAAAATGTTGTATGTGATTTTGCATGTATATTTGATATCATTCACTTGCTTTCTGAATGGGTCAAGGAGGAGTGGAAGGGAGGGAGAGAATTTGGAACTCAAAATGTAAAAAAAATAAAAAAGAATGCTAAAAATAAGTAATAAACTTAATTTTAAAAATTTTTTAAATTTAAAAAAATTTTTAAAAATTTTTAAAAATCTTGACAGGTTTGCATAATGGACTACATCTACTAAGATAGAATTTAATAGGGATAAATGTGCATTTGTATTCAAAAGATTATCTGTACTGGTACAATGTGATGGCATTATGGCTAGATAGAAGTGTGTGTAGAAAAAAACTCTAGGGGTTTGTAGTGCAGTGAAACTCATGCATCACGAGTGTGTCAGAAAACTTGATGTGGTCTATGAATAGAAATATGGTGTACAGAATGAAAAAGTTGTTGGGCACACTGTTCTTCCCTGGTCAGACCTCATTTGGAGTATCATGTTTATTTCGGGTAACTCATTTAGGAAGAACATTAAAAAGCTGAGCTAACATATTTAGAGAAGGTTGACCATGATGGTGAGGAGACTCTAAATTAGTCCTATTGTTGAAAGAGGACCTATTTCATCTGAAAGAGAAAAGATTTGGAATGTACATAAAATCACTAGTTTCCTTCAAAGCTCCACTCAGATACTGCCTCCTATTCAAGGCCTGTACTAGTCTTCCCTGCTCCGTGCTCCTCCCCCCAATTATTTTGTATGTATTTTATAGATATTTTTGTGTCTATGTTGTCTCTTTCTATAGAATATAAGCTCTTTGAGAGCAGGGACTGTTTGATTTATGACTTGATATCCTTACATAATGAATGCTCATTCATTAATTCATGATCACTGTCTTCAAGTATTGTTAATTTGGATATGTGGAAAGGGAATTAGATTCACTTTGGTTAGCTGACTGACAGAAACAGGATTGGAACTCATTTCTGGAATTTTGAGGTGAGGGAAGGGCATGTAGCCACCTGGCCTTAAAGGAGGAATTAAAAAATAAAAACCATTTTATCTGTACAAATGGAATAGGCTGCCTTGATAATAGTGACTTGTCAATCACCATAGAATTCAATGAGAGATTGGGTGACCACTTGTCAAGAATTTTGTAGAGGGGATTTAATGCTTCAGCTAGGTTTGGGACTGGAGGACCTTTAACTAACTTAGTACAGAGAAAAAGAACATTGACTTAGGATTTAGAGGACCAAGGTTCAAATTCTGCCTCTGAAGCCTCCTTCCTCTGGCTACGTTTGTCAAGTCACTTAACTTATTGGGGCCTCAGTTTCCTAATTTGTAAAATGAGGGTATTAGGCTTCAGGACCTCATGGTTCCTTCCACCTCTGGATCTACCAATCGTTGTGATTGTATGATTGCCTTCCACTTGGTGAGTTTCTGTGACTATTACATGAGTAAATTTAATAAATGCCTAAAAGATCTTAAACCCTTTGTTACAAAATTGATTTTGTTTTTCTTTCAACAGATACCATCACAGCCATGCTAGATTGTGCAGACAGGCCTGTTCTACAGGCTATTTTCCTTAACAGTAATTGCTTTGAGCATCTTATTCGACTGCTACAGAATTGCAAGGTAGTTTAAAAAAAAGTTATTTTTTCTGTTTTGAAGGATCTGTCATTTCATTCACAATTCTCTTCAAGTGTGAATTTGCCACAGTAAATTCTGCAAAATGAATATTTGTTAGAATTTAGTTGTGATTAACTGCAGCTTTATGAACATTAATGATTGAATAATTGTGATTAACTGTAGTGTTATGAACATTAATAGTTGAATATGTTAAACTTACCATTATTTGGATTTTATAAGTAGAGCTTCCTTTTTAGTATTGGAGCAGAATTTTTAGTTTCATGGTGAATATTCAATTCTTGGGTAGGTATTTACTTTTAGGACAAGTCTTGAGTGCTCCTGAAGTCACTTGTTAGTTTCTGTTTTCTGGAGTTGTAGCTGTATTTCTTATGGTACAAAACTGAGGCCGAGGTAATTTCAATTGCCGTACAAATTATTTTCATCATAATTTTTACTTGTCTGAGTAATGAGCGTTTAAATGTTGATGACATGATAGTCATGTTTTCTAGACACTTTATGTAATAAACGTTTTAATAATTTGAGTTTACTTCTTAAGGAAATACTAGTTTTCTTTCCAGTATTTCTTATTATAATACTATTATAAGTGCCTGAAATGATATTTTACTTAACAGTATTAAAATTTATTTTCCATAATGATGCTCTCGAGTCTAGACAAAATAACATACTTGCTTTTCCTCAAATGTGATACTCTATTTACCATCGTGTCTCAGTGTTACATTCTATCTCTTATGCCTGGAATGTATACTTCCTCTTCCTAGAATTCCTAGTTTTAGTGATTAATTCAATTGCCCCCTCCTGGAAGAGCTTTTACAGTTTATGATGTCTCCTCTTAACCTCCAAATTGCTTTATTTTTACTTGGTGTGTATTTTGTGTTTATTTGTCTACATGTTGTTCCTCCTATTGGAACATAAAGTCCTTGAAGGCAAGCATGTTTTCCACCTTTTGGGGTAATTCTAGTGCTTAGCACATGGAAGGCATTTAATAAATGCTTATTGATTTATTTGAAATGATGAACATGAAGAATTCAGGGAAATTTAGGAGAGGAGATGACAGATGAAATGAAGACCTGGAGGAGATTGGACTAAAGTGGAGGGGTTGATTGATGTAACAAAGGTCATGAAGGATGGAGGAGGGCATGGGATTGAAGGTACTGATGCAGAGTGGAAAATAGTCTTGGTGTAGAGGAAGGACAGCTTTTAGAAACCTAAACTCTTTAAGTGTAAAAAAACTAGGGGGAAAAACAAATTCTGCTTTATTAGGCTAAGCTAAAATGCTTGGCTGTCTAAGGCCATAATTAAGCAAAAGGTTTTGAAGATAGTTGCTTAAGTCCCTTGTAAGTGATCACTGAACCTTGTTTGAGGTTTGTTGGGCCAATGCCCAGGGTTATAGAGGCCTCTGCTCTCCATTCCCTAATTTTTATCGGCTCTCAAAATGAATAATTGTGTGGTAAACATTACCTACTGTGCTGCTAAAAGTGAAAACAAAACCTGTATTCTGGAGAGATTTATGGGAGATGCTAAATTTTTGCTGAGATGAAAAATAATCAGTAGGATCGCAGAAGAATAATGAATTTTTATGGTGCGACTGTTTCTTGTAGCCTTCTCAGGGACTTTAGCTGAAGTGCACACTCCTTTGAACCCCTAAAGTTTCTTCTTTTCCAATGCAATTCTACCCATTTCTGCATGAGGGTTACAGGTTGTCTTTAGGAGCATTGGGATTGAGGCTGGGTTGCTTCTGATTACATTGTGAAAAAACTCTGCTAATAGTAATCTTTATCAGTGAGACTTCTTACTCTTCAGTCTTGTTGATACTTAAAGATTTACAAATATTGATTGTCTAAGTGATGTGTACCTGAGTTTGTGGGCAATCTTTTCTGAGTGCTAAATGGCCAGAGCACATGAGCAAGATAGCTTGTGAACAATCCTTTCCATACTAATAATGCCCAAATGTAAGGGACCTTTTTTAGGGGGTGGGTGGGTGGGTAGGGGCAGTAAATCTTTTGGGGTTCCTAAATATAATATTTGGTTAGTCACATTTGGGAGGTGATGATCATCAGCCTGGAGATTAAGAATTGGAGAATAACTTTTTTTTATGTGAGAGCAGTTGGGGTTAAGTGACTTGCCCAGTATCACACAGCTAGTGAGTGTTATGTGTCTGAGGTCATATTTGAACTCAGGTCCTCCTGACTCCAGGGCTGGTGCTCTAGCCACTGTCCCACCTAGCTGCTCCAAGAATAACTCTTAATAGGAGCTGCTGCTGTCTTAGAGTGGAGAGGGCAAAACCTTTGTAGCGGTTAAAAGAAAAGAAAAAAAAACCTGTTGCTCTTTTCATAAGAAAATTTACAAGACTTTGTTAAGCAACTACAGAAAACTATTCCAAGAAAAACTATTAAATCACAACATGTAAGCAAAAAGAATTACAATAAACCATACTTAATACAAAAGTTTCTTTTAATTAGGAGTTTCTCAAAATGGAGCTTTTTGCTAGAAGTTAGAGTAGACAATAAGCCATAATTAACATAATAGTAATAATAATAATAATACAGATTTTGTCTAACATAATCTCATTCTCATATCTATGCATAGAAATTCATACATTAATACTTAATAAAGAACCATTTGTTTAGCTTTTCCTGTGCCATTGTGCTAAGCACTGGGGACACTAAGAAAGGCAAAAAACAATCCCTACCTGCAAGAAGATCACAATCTAAAAACTATTCACATATACAATATAATATTTAATGTAGATGGAAGACAATCTGTGAGAGAAGGCACTAGTTTTAAGGGAGACTAGAAAGTTTAGGACAGATATTGATAAACTTAAGAGTCTGAAGAGCAATCAGGATCCTGAAAGGCCTTTAATTCATGCTACAAACTTCATTGGTTGAAGCAACTAGAGTATTTAGCCAGAGGTGAGAAGATTTAGGGAGGGCTTGATAGCTGTTTTCAGGTAGCTGATAGACTTTCGTGTGGAGGAACAAATTGGACTTGTTTTTGATGAGTGGTTGTCCTCACTGCTGAGGGTTACTAAGACAGTTAATTTTTGACCTGCTAAGATCTTCCCATGGTGGGTATCCTAGACATGACCAAGCTATGTGGAGGATATCAAGGGAAATTAACAAGCATTTGTTAAGTGCCTACTCTGCCAGGTTACAAGGTATAAGAAAGGCAAAAACAGTCCCTGCCATGAAGGAGCTCACAATCTAACAGGGAGATAATATGCAAACAATATCCAAACATATATGTAGAATGGATTGTAGATAGTCACGGTAAGGTGCTAGTATTCAGGGGGACCGGGATGGCTTCTTGCAGAAGGAGAAATTTTAACTGAGATTTGAAGGAAGACAAGGGAAGCCAGGAGAGAGAGATGAGGTGGCAGAACATTCCAGGCAGAGGGGACACTCAGTTGGGAAATGAAGTATCTTGTGTAAGGAACAACAAAAAGGTCCATTGTCACTGAATTATAGAGTATGGATAGGATTTGGTAGTTGTTGTTTGTCCTTCATTCTCGAAGAGGACCACATCAGGAAGGTGATGCCATGACTTGCAAGTGAATTGGCTTTAAGTGAGGGAGGGCTATACAAAGTCACCAGCCTAACTTTCTCCTCCATAGCCATCTGGGTCCAGGGGCAAGATATAGATCAGGACAACTGGAGATGGCCCTCTTAGGTTTTTGTAGGATTTGGCAATAGACTGGATATGTGGGCTGAAAGAAAATGAAGAGTCAGAAGATGAACTGTTGTGAACTTGGATGCCTGGAAGGATGGTGGTACCTTCAACAGTAATATGGACATTCTAAAGAGGGGTAGGTTTTTTGGGGAAAATAATACAATGAGATCTGTGAACCTTTGCAATCCTTCCATGCTTCCTCATCCTATATGACTCATTCTGTCCCTCCCAAAAGAAAAAGGGGTATCTGCAGGGTGATTACTGGTCATCACTCTGAATGTTAAAGTCCACTCTCTAGTGGGTTTCCCATAACGTTGAGGTGAACTCACGGTGAGGGAGTGGGATTTTATAAATGGCCCCTGCTGTTGTGACCACAGCTGGCAACTGGGTTGTAACTTAAGGGCTGATCCTTGGCTCAGAAGGATGGAGGTTTGTAGTTTGCACAGGGAAGAAATAGAGTAATTGAGTATTGAGGGATAGGGAGAGGTGTGGTTGTGTTGGAAACAAGCCTCATAATTGGACATTCTAGGGAAGGGTAGAATACAATCCATCTTCCCATCCTTTGGTTCATCAACATATTCTTTGGAGTCTTGCCATGACCCCTTAAGAGTCCCCATTTCCACTTGGGAAACCATTGACATAGATAGTAGCAATCTTTTAGGAATAAGAGAAAATAGTTGAGATGCTCAGAAATTTACAGAGTAAAAAAATCCAAGAACCAAGTTGGTAATAAAACCCATGAGCTCAGTTATCTGCAGAAATACACAAAATATAACTGATAAGCAACATGAACTACTGATCCTAATACAAGGAGGAAAACTTGACTTCATAGTCAGTACTGAGCCTTGGGATGAGACCCATGACTGGACTATAATATAACTCTGTAAGGTTATACCTTATTCATAAGGAATATAATAAGTGAAAAGGAAGGAGGTGGAAGAACGTTCTATTTGAGAAGTTGTAATCATATTACAAGCTCTAGGAGCCAGAGGCAAGGGGAGGGGAAGTAGGAAAGCATAATGGATAACATTTAGGCAAGGATCAATTGAGGCAGAAAAAGATATCATTATACTATCATAGTAATATGCTACCAGGAAAGAAGGGAGAAATAGCTGAGTTCAGAAACAGATCACAAGCCTGGTCCAATGGCAAAATATATTAGTTGCTGTGGTATGTTATTTATCTTGATATCTCTTGGAGCTCTCTTCTGTCAACAACAGAGCAACTAATAATTTTCTAGGTATGCTTAAATATTAATTTAATCCTTCAAAAGGTAATGTAATTAAAAAAGAGAAATTCTGTTCTGTATCTGTTTTTCACCAACAAGGAGAAACTGGATGTAGGATTGGAAATGATTATAACCTTGGGTGGAAGTTCCTGTTTTGTTTTTGAATGCCAGATAAATTCATGCAAGTGTGTTCCACTTACATGTGACTTCTTTGAAATTCCTTTACCTGATTGTAATCTTTTATCATTCCATTTTTCCTCTTTGCCTTACAACCCTTAACCTTGGTTTTCATTCTCACTGTATCTCCACCTGTTGGCTTTTTCCCAGACCATATTGCACTCTTTCTACTCAAATACAGTGCCACTGTCCTTGCTGTTCCCTGCACAAGACATTCTGATTCCCTAATGCAGTTTCACCGGCTGTCTACTGTGTCTAGAATTCCTTATTTCCTTCTCCTGGTTTCCCTGCCTTCCTTCCAATCTCAGCTCAAATCCTACTTTCTGTAAGAAACCTTTCCTAGTCTCCTTTAATGCTGTTACTTGCACTATGTTTATAATTTCAACTTAACCTGTGTGCATCTTGTTTGTACTTATAAATGTTTGCATGTTGCCTCCTCCATTGGACTGTGAGCTTAAGAGCAGGGTTTATTTCTCTGTATCTGCAGCACTTAACACAGTAGTTGATATAAGGCAAGTGTTTTTGTTGAAACAATTTACAATTACAATGATGGTTGTCTGCAGAATTCTCTTTTTGATGAAATTTTGGTTCATTTCCCTTTATGTAGTGTACGATTTGTTCATTGGGTCAGACCTTGTTTTGATTTTTTCCTCTTTTTTCCTCTTCTGTGTTTATGAATTTCTCTTTTGGTTTATCTGCTTTTAAGTCCAGCATAGATTCAGTTGTTGTCCCCTGAAGTTTTTATCTTAAAGCCTTTTTTTTTGTAGTTTCTTATTTCTTGTTTCCCTTTTCCTTTTTTGGTCCATTCTTTCAGAGATGTACAGATCCTTCCTTCTTCTTGCCTGAGATCATTTGTGTAGTGGGGGGGTCCAGACTGGGTCCCTGCCCAGAATAAACTGGGAATGGAGTTAGAAGATTGACTTTAGCTGAGTTTCCAATCTTCTTTTCCTTGTGCACAGAAACTTTTTTTTATCTAGATAACTCTGCAGTACCCCCTATCTTTTGCTTCTTCCTCCACTTGGTTTCCCTTTTCCTTTGAGTGGAAAAATCAGTAGTGTAGGGAGGGAGGAGTACAGTTCCAGAGGTGGGAAACCTGAGGCCAACTTAACTTCTAGGTCTTTGGATGTGGCCTTTTGACTGAGTCCAAGTTTTACAGAACAAATCCTTTTATTAAGGGGATTTGTTCTGTGAAGTTTGGATTCAGTCAAAGGGCCGCACTTGAGGACCTAGAGGGCCATATGTGGCCTTGAGGCTGTAGGTTCCTCACCTCTAGAAACCTAAACTGGCCAGGGACCCCACAGAACTGGTCCCTGAAGTACAAACTTAGAAGATGGTTTATGCCTAGCAAATATCAGTGATTGGGGGTGGAGACTCCAAGTGGGAGTTCTAAACATTTAAGTTGTTGTTTATGGAGTTTTTTTTTACCTTTTGAAATGTTTTTGTCTTTTTAACTTGTGAATTTGGCTGTAGATACTCTCTATCTGGTACATAATCCTTTTTTCCCAAGGTTTTTGGGTTGGACAGATTTGGGGGAAATACTGTTCCATCTTGCCAATTACAAGATCTCCATTACTAATTTTAAAATGGTACTGGAAATTGAGATCACTTCTTTGAAAAAGAATACTTGTGTGTATGCATAAAGACATGTGTGTGTGTGTGTGTGTGTCAGTGCTTTACTCAGGACTTTTGGAAGGAGGGCCTCTTAAGTGTAATCTTTTTGTTCACCTTTTTATTTTTCCTCTCCATACTTTCTCCCCAAACTACTTTCCAACCTGACCTCAAGCGGTTATGGAGGAGATGAGAAGTTACTGGAGGGATGTGTGTTTCAAGGGTGGGGAGGGGCATGCTTTCTTTGTCTTAGTCACGGATGAATTCTTGGGTAAAAACCTCTAGGCTTTTTTTTTCCCTTTAAATTGGCTCCTGGCATAGCTAATTCATTTTCTCTCATCCATTCTCACCCCAAAATCCTGCCCAACAGTAGCAATGTGGACCCTGCAAAGCAAATTTGTAGGGATTTATTTTGACCAGAGCAATCAAATACCAGGTGTTAAGAAGCAGTGACTGCCTGAATTTTTTTAGTAGGTTAGTATTTAGGTTCTAATTTGTTTCAAACGTTCTTTAAGTATCTGCATCTCAAAGATTGTTTCTTTTAAGGGTTTTTTTTAACTATTGCTCCTTTTATCCAATCTAAATTTTTTATGTCATTAATATATTGTTGGGTTTTTTTCTTCTGAAGCCTTCATTTACCCTGCTGACTCTACTTATATTGTGTTAGGTTTTTTTTCAGCTACTTTGAATTCTGAGACAGAAATTAATCATGGGAATTTTAAATATAAATTAATATTAGAATTTCCAATCAAAAATTTTTTAAAAAGTTTTTAAGTAATTTCTGAAAATGAAAGAATTTAGTAGTGTGCACTCTTGGATTTAATTCAGCAGAATTTGCAACCTATCTAATCCAAGTATTCACACTTCAGCTTGTAGCTCATATATTTAATTCTTTTTTCTCCATTATTCTTGTCTCTGTTTTTAACAGCTGTTTTTAAATGCTAACAGTAAAGTGGCAGACAAGAACGAGAAAGATCTTGCCAACAAATTACTGACAGAAATGAATGAGGACCAGGTATCTACAAAGTCTGCATCTTGCTTAATTAAGCTCAAATCCAGAAATAGTCAGTGGGAATACCTCTTCCTGTACTTTGACTCTATTGTCTTAAACGAAAGTAGTTTTTCTTAAACTAAAGGAGTTTGCTATATTAAACATTATCTGTTTCAAGTAATATTTTTAAAGAGTTTTTTTAAATTTAAAAAGGTACAAAAATATTTAAAATTTAAAGTATCTTTAATATTGTTATAGTTTGCATTTTTCATTTTTTCAGTTTTGAAGAGATAAGTACAGGAATAGGATCCCAATACTGATACTATCAACCTGGTGGTGATTTAATTTCTTTTTTCTTTTTTTTTTGGGGGGGGCAGCATTCGCTTTCTTTTCTAAGTATTGTGGTGTATTGGGGTCTTAGGGCTTTGTGAATCTCTGTGATTATTTTGTGTGTTGATTCTTTTCTTCTTGTTAAGTCCATTCAGTGGACATAATGAATCTGGGAGGAAGGGAAGAAGAATTTGATTTCTAGAATCTTTTTTGTTAATACAACATAGAACTTGAATTTTTATTTATAAAAATTTAGTTCCAAATGAATAAAATGGCAAATCCATAACTTATTATTTTTGCTTTTCTAATATTTTGTAGTTTAGTAAGAAAAACCTACATGTAAATAATGTACTTGTCTATCATAATTTTTGTCTCTAAAATGTTAGATTGTGATAGACATAGTATTTGGTGCTTTTATATTGATCTTGTCCTAATGTGCATATTTACAGGTATATGATAAATAATTTTCCTTTTATAAAATGTTGATTGAAAAAAAGGAAGGAATTTCAGAGTTGAAGTAATATTTCTCATAGGGAAAATTTTGAAATTAATTTGCAGCTGTTAACTCCTAAAATATATTTTAGGACTTTCTCATTGCTGAAGTCACCTTATCATGAGGTCCTTTGTACTCTTCATTAACCTAACCCCTTTGGAATAGAGTTCAAGTCCTACCTTATATTATTACTTCTCAGTTACCTTCTAACTTCGAGATTCTGTGATATTCTGCTTTAAATGCACATGATGCTATAGGAAAGTTTCAGTGTCTTATGTCATTTTATGGAGGCCTGGACTGATTGGAATTCTTGTTTAGGTGTACAGATTCTTCTAAAACAGCAGTATTTTAGACTGTCCCCTCAAAACTATTTTGAGGGGCAGGGGGAATAAAAGAACCTGCTAGTAGTATAACTATTTTAGGCTCAATTCAGTGACTTGCCTGATCCCTAAAAGCAGCTTTTAGGTATGATAATTCTTTAAACTTTATTAACCCCCATGCTGTGCTTTCATAATTGAGAATTGTCACTAATACTGATGTAGCTCCTCCTTCCCAGATTTGTGATAAAGTGCAATACACTGAAATGAACAGATCCACATCTTTAAAATGGCCTAATGATTGATGGAAATTTATGATACTTGTTTATTATCATTAAAACATTCAACTTTTGGCATGAACCATTTTAATATCAAAGGTATGAACAACATTTGTACGCCATCAAAAAAGCCTGCATGCTTCTCAGCTGTCTGGAATTCTGCATTTTATTTGCAAATACATGATTATTTGCTTTCATGTTAAGATTAGTTGATTTTTATACAGAAATACTATATCATTAATTAAAAATATAGCTTCTATAAACTCAGCAGTTAAGATGTTTTTAGCTACATTTTTTGGTAAAATTAAACTCAGAAATGGTTAATTTTAAGTGGAAATGATAGTGTAATAGATTTTTTAAATTGCATACTTACCTCCCTGTTGAGATTGTCCATTAAAAGCATGAGTGAATCTTAGATTTTGTCCGTCAAGCACTTTACTATGTGAATGTAGACCTCTTGATATGAGCCTTACTTTTTTTTTTTTTGCTTAGTATGTGAATTTTCTTTCAGGTTATGATGTCCTTATATGATGTCACTGGGGGAGGAATGTGATGCATGTTCAATAATTGTTTTTTTCCCCACACTATTGGAAGAACACAGTTCTTCTTAGCTCCAGTTGAGCTAAACCTTTAGCTTGTTTGTGTTGGACATTGCTTGTTTTCTCTCATTATAGGTATTTCAAGAACAGTTGGATTGTTTGGCTATATCTACCATTCAGGCCCTAACGGCAGTGATGAACAAATCTCCAGCTGCTAAGGTGTTTTAAGTTCATTTGTAAAATTATAATAATATTTATATGAATAGCATATAATTTCTATTTAATAATTTATAATAATCAGTATTTATGGTTGCTGAGCACTTTGACTTAGTCTTATTTAGTACAATAATCCCAGTGAAGAGGTAGGGCAAACAACATTATACTCTTATCATAAGATTTTTATAATCATAAGATTTAGGGAAGGTCACACTGCTAGTTAGGAGATAAAGCCAGGAAATAAACCCCCATCTTCAGACTTCAAATCTAGTGTTCTTTCTGACCTTCCATGTAACATTTCTTATCCCTCTGTATCCCAAAGTGCTATATAAGAAACACAGTATATTGAGGTGAGTCAACTCTGCAGTAAAAGCTGGGAGTCACAGTTCACAGAACAGCATGAAATAATTTAGGGACAGCAGGAAGTTAGATGGTAATTATTCAACAAATGTTTATTAAGCTCTTACTACCAGGAGCTGTGCAAACTCTAGGGATTAAAAAAAAAAAGACAAAAACATGTTTCTTTCCCTTAATAAGCTTACATTTCAATGGGGGAGATAACATGCAAATAACTCTGTATGTATTAGATATATAAAGTGTAAAGGGAACTGGGAAAGGTCTTCTGCAGAAGGTGGGATTTGAGCTGAGTCTTGAAGGAAACCCCGAAGTTAGGATGTAGAAGTGAGGAAGAAGAACTTTTCAGGTGTGGAGGATGAAAATGTTTGGAGTCAGATATGTATGAGGAGCAATAGGTAGCCAGTATAGCTAGATCATTATGTATCTTTAGAGGTGCAAAGTGTAAGAAGATTGGAAAGGTAAGAATGGGCTAGTTGTGAAGAATTCTAAATGCCAAACAGTATTTTATGATACGTTATGAGACAAACATCAGTCCAAACTGATTTGGCATGTGGATCGATGCTTACCCTGTCCAGAAACCTCATCTCACTGTCACAGTTCTTTTACTTTGTATTCCCTAATAATTGTATTTCCATAATGGTATGTTTAACATTCTGATTTATAGGAACTTTGCCATGACTATACTGTAAAATGCTATTTGGTATAAAGTGGATCACTCACAGCCACCATCCAACACCCCAGAAGTTGTTATAAAGTTAGTCTGGAAGCATAGCCTCCACAGATAGCACTGTAGTCCAGTTTTAGTGTATTCTTTATCTCCCTAAATGCTAGGTATGTGACTGGATCTAGAACATGTTTGAAGATCACGGAATCTTAGCCCTGCAAAGAACTTTCAAGGCAATTGAGACCTCTGTCTACTTTTTAAAGATAAACAGACTCAGTGAGGTGAAATGATTTATTCAAGACCATAAAGCTAGTTACTTGCTGAACCTTTTTGAGTTACTGGGATACTACCTTCTGCTTCTATTTTTAGAGCTGATTTAAGCTGCCTCGTTTTCCACCTTCAACCCAAGACAATTTTCTGGGAGAGTCTCCAGTGGTTTTGCCTAGTTGGAAAACTCAGAGTGAGGAGAAACTCAGGTTGAGGAGAAAAAAAAGGACTCAGTTCAGTAGGCATTGATTAATTGCCTGCTCAGTGCAAAGCACTGTGATCAGCCCTTAAGGAGCTTACATTCTACTGGGGTATGCAACATGTAAACAAACAAAAGATAATTTTAGGGATAAGTACAGACAATGGAGGGGCATTTTAGAAAGGCTCCTCTTAGGAGGAAGCCACTGAGTGGGCTTATAGAAAAAAGCTAAGAAATCTAAGAGGTGGAGGTGAAGAAGAAGAAGCCTGTTCTTGGCATCGGGAACAGCTCGTCCCCTAAGGCACAGAGGCCTGAGAGGAAAGTAGGTAGGCCTGTTTGGTGGGAGCATAATGTGTGTGAAGGGGGGCAATGCAGAATAGGCTGGGAAAGGTAGGCTAGAGTTAGAATATGGAAGGTGGTAAATAGAAACAGAAGAGTTTGTACTTGATTCTATAGGCAATCAAGAGCCATTTGAACTTAGATTTTTGAATAAGGGAATCATATGGTGTTGGACTTGTGCTTTAGGAAGATTATTTTGACAGCTATATAAAGACCAGGTTGGAGAGGGAGGGAGTCCAAAGTAGTCTACAATTTATACTTTGTACAATTGATTGAATTTTTATGACCTACATTATGAATTATATTTTACCACATATATTGGAATTTTATTTTTTTGTAGGCCATGGTAATTGGAAATTCAGAAATATTCTTATAATAAATACCATATATTTCAGAGTATAAAAACTTAACTTATTCAGGAAGAATATACTTTCCTTTCACATTGATGACAAACTGGCAATAGCACTTGAAGGTTTGTACAGCACTTTATATACATTATCTAATTTTTTTCTTGCCATAGTTTGTGATGCAGGTATTCCTGATATAATTCATATTTTACAGATTAGGAAACTGAGGCTTAGTGACATAGCCATAGTCATAGAGCAAGTTAATATTGGAGGCAGAATTTGAACCCAGGTTTTCCTGATTCCATGTCCAGCTTCTACGTGTTACTATCCCTCCTTTTTCTGTTAATGTGCTTAAACTATTGTGTTTTTCTTTTTCAGGAAGTGTTTAAAGAACGAATTGGTTATGCACATATGTATGAGGTATTAAAATCCCTTGGTCAACCTTCATTGGAATTGCTAAAAGAACTTATGAATATGGTGAGTTATTTAAAATTTTCTCTTTGCTAGTAGATGTTAAACTACTGCCTTATCAGAATTTATTTTATAACTTATGTTTTTTCTTCCTAGGCTGTAGAAGGGGACCACACATCTGTTGGGATTTTGGGCATTAGCAATGTCCAACCCTTATTGCTGCTTATCCAGTGGCTTGCAGAACTAGAATCACATGACCTACAGATATTCATCTCTGACTGGTTGAAGCGAATTTGTTCTCTTAATAGACAGAGTCGAACTACTTGTGTCAATAACAACATGGGTCTCAGGATCATTGATACCCTCTCTTCCCATTCTTCACTTCATTGTACTTGTGCTGAGAACCTGATTGCTCTCCTTGGTTCTTTGGGGAGTCAGTCAATGAGCTCTGAAGAGCTTCTCAGATTAATAAGACTTCTGAGAACAGATGAATCCAAGAAGATCCATTCTTATACCATTCCTGTATTGCGCGCAATCCTGGCAATGGCTCGAAAGCAAACTTTAGAGAGTGCACTGCAGTATTTTAATTTATCTCACAGTATGGCAGGTATTTCTGTACCATCCATTCAGAAATGGCCAGGGTCTGCCTTTTCCTTCAGTGCTTGGCTTTGCCTAGACCAGGATCAGTTGAATACTGGCATCTCTAACAAGGGAGGGAAGAGAAAACAACTATACAGGTACTCACTCATAAAAGTTCTTAAATATTATGCTTTGGCATGCTTTCCTCGGCATTTGAATTTTGAAATACATCAGTTTAAGAGCTTCTAATTATTAAGCCATTCATTTATTCAGTGTGTAATATTAAAAAGCAGCAACATGGCTCAGTGTATAGACTGCTGACCTTAATATCATCCGCTGACCTCAAGGTCAGGAAGACATGGGTTCAAGTCCTGCCTCTGACAGTACTGGCCATGTGACTGTGGGCCACTGACCCAGGTGGTTTTCTAGGACTATAACTTGCAAAGCAGTGCTCCCTTTTTGGCATTCTCTATTCCAGTGAAATCACAGGTCCAGTCCTCCCTCACCAAAAAATAAAATAAAGTTGGGATTAACATGTCAGAATCCTTTTTATTATGTGAGGACTAATAGGGATTGATGACAGTGAAGTATAATTTAAACTGGAATATTTCTCTCTCTTTTTTTTAATAGCTTTTTTACAGCAGGTGGCATGGGCTTTGAAGCCTTTCTTACTTCTTCTGGAGTATTGGTGGTGGCTGTGTGCACCAAGAGAGAGTACGCAACTGTTGTGCTTCCTGACCACAGTTTCTGTGACTCCCTCTGGGTAAGGTTCCAGGAGCTCAGCTTTCGGATGCCTGTATTTCAGGAATTATATACACCATCTGCATTTGTAAACAGCTCCTTATGCTCTTTGAATTTTCACATACATAATTAGTGCTGCCTATGTTGAGGCAGTGTGAGTAATGTTTATCCTGATTTGGCTTTATTAGGCCTCAGACAGTCCTTTATTAATTCCTTGGAAAGAATTATTGAGTGAAAATTAATTCTTTTCAGTAGACTTTTTTAACATGGTTTAGAAAAATGCATTGTGACTCTTTGCCACCCACCTCCCCCTCCCACCCCAAATGTGACCTTACTAAAATATTTCTTTGTTTGCAAAAGAAACTTTATTTAAAAAATAAAACAAACAGAATGCTTAACCACGTACAAGATGTGACCAGATCATCTTGAAAGTATTCCTTTCGGTGGAAATCTTTGTTTTTAACTCTTAATATGGTTAGAATTTTTTATTAACACACATACTCAAGAGTTCTGTTGAGTGCTTGTGCCTATTTTGACTTCTTAGAATGAAAGTTATGTTGCCATTCTGTTCAAAGGGCCTTAATAATTTCTAAAAGGAAACGATAATGAAGATTTCTGCAGGAGGATTAGTTCTTATGTTGAAATATAAAGAATAAAAGAGCAAAAATCATTAAAGATGATGAAGTCTGTTGCTTTGTTTTGAAAGTTTGCAAATCATGCTTGGAGATGTTGAAAGTATAATGGAAATACTTTGTTCCTGTTTCTAGGAAATACACAAATATTCTCTTAGATTTGTATAGGAAGATATTTTTTCCTGAGCTGAGCAACTTTTATAATCATTGTTAGATATTTATATAGAAAGTTAAATTTTTAAAGATGGCACAAACTTTTTTTTTAGAATACTTTAAAACTATTTGAAAGTTTTAAATGCATAAAATATAGGAAGTACCCTAATTGACTGTTTTTGCTTAATCAGCACAACATAACCATTGTTCACATGCCTGGAAAAAGACCCTTTGGTCAGAGTCTTGTCTATATCTATGTCAATGGACAGCAGAAGGTTTCTGCCCCTCTCAGGTTTCCTGCAATGAATGAAGTAAGTACATATAGCAAATCTACTCTTATCAAAGGCCGATAGCACCAGTTAATGGAGAGAGTTCTAAAGTATTTGCTGAGGAGTTTCAGTTTAATATGAGTGTTATTTCTTTTGTTTATTCTGAGGTTATATTCTCAGTGACTTGATTACTATTTTATTATTTTATTATGTGCACATGGTGAGATGCTGTCAGATTCCACTATTCTGTCATAACTAACCGTGGGAAAATAACTATGACACTTAAGCTGTTTGCCTCTATTTCCTCAGGTTGTTATCAAGACCAAATGAGATAATATAAAACACTTAGCACTGTGCTAACATAGTTTCACAATTTGTGAAACGTAGTAGGTGCTTAATAAATGCTTATTCCTCCTCCCACCCCCACCCCCATATGTTCCCTTCCCTCCACTGACACAGGCACCAACTCTATTTTAGATCCTCATCCCCTCTTGCCTGTACTATTTCAGTAGCCTCTTAATTGATCTTCCTGCTCAAGTATCTCCTCACTTGAGGGCCACAGTGATTTTCTTAAAATGTAGGTCCTTGCTTCTCATGGATTCCTGCATGCCAGTTTATATTTGATCCTGAAATGTAAACTCCAGTGGCATTCACAGAGCTTCAGCACCTGGCCTTTTACTATTGTTCCAAACTTGTTCCACATTACTGCCTTCTCTGGGCCTTTGTACTGGCTATCTCCCAGAGCAGAAATGCTTCTCCACTTCCCCTGCACTTGGAGTCTTTGGTTACCCTCAACATTCAAGTAAGATACCACCTTGTGTACAAAATTTTTCTGGATTCCTCCCAGGATGACTTTGTGTCTGTTTTGTATATATTGATGATATAGATGAGTGTGTTTTCTCCTCATTAAATTTCCTGAGGTCGGAGACTCTTACGGTTTTGCCTTGCATCACCAGCCCAGGTGCTTAATGAATACTTGTTGAAGGATGTTTACAAAGGGCTCTTAGAGGGTGGTAACCAACTGTTTTACAGACTAGTTCAACTTCAGTCATTGTCTAGAAGCATTGTTGCCCTGCTTGTTGGTGTCTCCTTCTGAATCTCCTTCTGTTTTCTTCTGTGGATTTTCCAAAAAATGTTACGCTGACCTTTCCCCCGTTTTTCCTTCTTTTTTTCTTTTTTTGCATCAATTGATAGTCCTCTTCTGCCTCCAAATCACAAAACAAACCCATACATTGACCATTTCTGAAAATGAATGTATCATTATGTACTTTGAGTTTCCCACCTTTCTGTCAGATAATGTTCCTTGTTGAAGACAAGGAGTATGGGTATTAGAGGACTTCTCAAATTTTTCCTGTGAGTTTATTTGTATCTTTTTTATTTACCTCATGTTCCTAACTACAAAGGTTAGAAAAGTCATATTTCTGCTTCTATTTTAGAATGATAAAATTAAAGCCCTTTGAAGTATTTAACTGTAAATATGGTTATTTGATATTGTTTTGATATTTTGGCTATATTTGATTTTAATTATTTAAATGATAATTTTGAAAGTTTTGTAATCAACATATTTTCTTACTTTTTTTCTTAGCCTTTTACTTCATGTTGTATTGGCTCAGCTGGACAAAGGACAACCACACCCCCTCCATCCCAAATCCCAGACCCACCTTTTTCCTCTCCAATTACTCCTCACCGAACATCATTTGGTGGAATTCTGGCTTCAGCCTCCTGGGGAGCAACTCCTGAAAAATCAGAGTTGCTAACCAAGTTAATTTCAGCTGGGACTCAGGATAGTGAATGGGGATGTCCAACATCTCTAGAGGGTCAACTTGGGTCAGTAATCATCTTCCATGAAGCACTGCATCCTCCTCAGGTGAAATTGTTATATTTGGCAGGTGAGTATAGAAAGATACACAGCTTTGTAGTACTTAACCTCCTTCAACAGTATACTTAATCAGAGCTGGAAGGAAAAATAGCTACTTTCAGCAATACTTCAGGAAGTCATGATTTCATCTATATGGGTAACTCCCTGCTCCTTGTAGCTTGCAACTTCTCCATGCCTTAGCAGACAGTTCGGTGAGCTACTGTGGCCCAAAATCCTAATCACCTGGTGACCAATCCTTTGTGGTTTTCTTTGTTTTTTGTTTTTGGCTAGGCAGTGGGGTTAAGTGACTTGCCCAGGGTCACACAACTAGTAAGTATCAAACGTATGAGGCTGGATTTGAACTCAGATCTTCCTGACTCCAGGGCTCTATGCACTGTGCCACCTAGCTGCCCCTGACCAATCCTTTGTAAAGGAACCTCTTAGAACTTTGTTATTCTTCTGCCTTGGAACATATAACCTCTTGCTTGTCCTGTACTCAAGCCTTTCCACCTTGTGAGTTCTTTCTAGTTAGTAGTTTTCTGGCATTATCTTCAAGAACCCAGGGTCACCTCCATAGCATCAGAGACTTAATGGATGATGATGTACTTTCATGTTGTAGGTATACGAAAGTAAAAAACTATATCATTTTTAAAGAAGGATATTCTGTCATATTGTATTTAACATTAGATTTGAATAAATTGATTAAATAAAACATGCATAATTCTGTGTTAGAAAACATACTTCTAGTGCATATAAATTCATATAACTGAAGAATTCATGATGAGGCATTAGAATTTGAAATTCCGTATTTAAGATAAAGGGAGTAATCTTTCTGTTCTCTTTTGGGTCTCATTTTTAAAGTTATATTTTTAAAATTAAATTTTATTTTGTTTTCACAAAGATACACACATTCTCTTTTTCTTAACTTGTCTCTCCTCCCTTCTCTCCACATATACATTGAGGAAACAAGAAAACAAATCCCTATTAAAAACATGCATAGTCAGGCAAAACAATTCTTGCGTTGGTTATGTTTGGGTCTCATTTTGAAGACAGTTATTCTTACTTTTGGACCCTTGCCTACTTGAAAAATTTTACCTAGGATTGTCTTTTGTCCAATAGTTTATATTATGTAATATCACTAGTTAAAGTATTATATTCAGAATATTCTGTGTCAAATTCTGAGATATTTAAATAGCAAATGGCTTTTGAGGCAGATGAGAATTTTCAAAATTGATTTTAAATTTTACCATTATTGAAAAATTGGAATACTTAAAGGACATTGTAATCTAAAGAGAAGGCAGTGAGATCTGGTTTCAAGTCCTGCTTCTAATACTTGTGAGCCGTATGTCCATGGACAAGTTATGTCCCCTCTCAGTGGCCCTGTATTCTGGACCCTTAGCCTCTCAGAGCAAGGCACTTCACTAAGACAGTAAGTAATAGGAGCTACTGATCTGTCTGTGTAGGGGAGGGAGGTCCATGGACTGATGAAATTGCAGATCTGGACTAAAAAAAGGGGGAGAACCCAAAAGAACATCAAGTTAAACTAGAATTTAGAGAGATGTTCATGATACTCAGAGCACTTAGGGTAATCAGTAGGTTTAGAATCTGTTGACATTATTAAAGTGAACTTTTCTTGAGTTTGGATAAAAAAGGAGATAAGAACACAGCCCCAAATCTTGCATTCATTTGAGCTGCTAAAAGGTCTTTACTTTCACTTCATCTTTTGTGGAGTACACAAGTGAATCAGCAAGCATATATTAGATGCTTACAAACGGCAGTATTCTGCTAAGTACTGGGAATGCAAAGAAAGGCAAAAACATGGTCTGTCCTCAAGGTGTTCTTCTTTTATGGGGAGGTGATGTCCAGCATAAACAGGAGGTTAACCCAGAGGGAAGACACGAGGAGCAGGGAACAGGAAGCAGGGAGGTAGGTGGAACCAGGAAAGGCCTCTTACAGAAAGAAGGTGCAATTTAATCTGACTCTTGAAGTAAGCCAGGTGATAGTAGTGAGGAGAGAGAGTATTCCTATCATGAGAGAAGGTCCATGGAAAGGGATAGAGCTAGGAAAATGGTGTGTTATGTGAGGAATATATTTATATGTTATGTTACAGAGGGCCTACCTAGCAACATATCAGTCTGCAAGAATGTGAAACGTAGTGGTTTTTTTTTTTCAGGTCCAAACTGCTTAAGTCCTTGGAAATCCCCAGAATTTGAAATGCCAGATCTACCAAGTAAAATTCTTCTTTACTATACACCAAAGGTAGGAATGAAAAAAATTTTTTTTGTCTATATGTATCAGCTAATTGAAGGAAGTTGGGAACCTTTTTAAGTGGATTTAATGCTCTGAAGATCAAATCCAATTCTAGCTAATTGCATAGGACATAAAAAAGTTTCATTTTCACAGAGCAAACTGGCCCTTGTAACTTTTTTTTCCCTAGCATTATGTGTTTTCATTGCATAAATTAATGATATCAGGAAAGATATGTCCATAATTAATATACTGCTCAAGATCAGTTTCACCTTTCAGGAATGAGAGATGAAATGGAATTGAGCCATACTTTAGTCATGCTTTGTCCAATAAAATGACTATGTAATCTTGGGCAAGTCATGTAGCCTCTATTTGCCTCAGTTTCTTCCACTGTAAAATGGGGATGATAATAATAGCATCTGCCTCCCAAGGTTTTTGTGAGGATCAAATGAGATGTTTGTAAAGCTCTTACTATGGTGCCTATTGCATAGTAAGTACTATATAAATGGTAGCTGCTATCATCATCATCATATTATCATTACTGTTATTAAATGAATCCACTGGTTGAAAAAAGATGGCATTTTACTTGTTATTCTTTTTCTTTCATGTTCCTTCATCTATTTACATGTCATTTTATTTTGCTGAGTGGTTGTAGTTTAGGCAGATTGTTCTAGGAGGAATGAATCGAAAAGAATGGTGCCACAGTGCTTGAGAAATGAATTTGTTGTACAGTGCACAGTCATTGGTGACCAATAAATGTTTGTTGAATGTTGAAAACCATGCGTGTTCACAAAAGCAGTAAGGTATGGAACAAATGTATTTACTGGTCCTACTAATTCTTACATTTATAAAATTGGACCAAAATGTTAGAATTGTTTATGTAAGTGCTAAAAATCAAGCTTTTGGGTTGAAATACTATCTTTTCCTCATTTTTCTTTTTTTTAATTTTTATTAATTTATTTTGATTCATCAACAATCACTTCTGTAAAATTTTGAGCTTTAAATTTTTCTCCCAACACAACACGCAGTCTGATATAGGCTATACATATACATTCCTATTAAACATATTTTCACACTAGTTGTGTTTTTCCTCATTTTTCAAATGAAAAAGCTAACCTATACTCTGAAAATAGTGGATTATGTTCGTCCACCTCCCTGATTCCACCAGTGAAGAAGATGAGGCCCAGAGAATTTATCAGACATGCCCAAGGTCACACAAGTAGTAAAAATATAGAGCCAGGATTTGAACCCAGGTTCTTTAACTTTAATGTAGTGTTCTTTTCAATATATGCATTGCCTTTGGAATCTCATTTGGAAGCCAGAAAGTTAATGATGATAAAGTAAAAAAAGCAAGCTGATTAATTGGAAATTACTTCTGAAGAACCTTTTTCGCCTGTTGTAGTTCTATAATCATATGGTAAGCCAGATACACTTAGACTATGTCTACTATATTCATGTCACTTCAGTTCAACAAGTCTGTACTGGGCATCTACTAATCTAGGTATATTAGGGTTAAAAAAAAAGTATGTTATTTCATATTATTTGCCCTTAAAGAGCTTAAAACCTAACTGAGGAAACAAGCATATGCCTTGAAGATTAAAGTTCATTCCAGCAAATAGCAGAATAGTAAAGGTAATCAACAAACATTTATTAAGCACCTCTAGGAACTAGGGTTTGCAGAGACAAAAATGAAATAGTTCCTCATCTTTAAGAGGCTTACATTCTGTCATAAGAAACAAAATACAAAATGTTAAATACACAAAGTACACCCAGGGTAATACAGGGGAGGGATTAACAGCTAGAGGGAACCAGTAGGTGTATAACAAAACAATTCACATTCTTGTTTTTCAGTTGGTAATCCATAGTACTCCCTCAGCTTTCCCTCCACCTCTGCCTTTTCCTGTTACTGCCCTTTACTGTAACGTTCCCTCTATTGCAGTCTAACTGGCTTATCTATTCCTCCATGTATGACATTTTCTCTCCTGTCAGTGTGACTTTGTACAAGTGGAACTCTTCTCTGCCTCCTAGAATCCCAAGCTTCTTTCAAAGCATAGTTCAGGTGTCAGCTTCAAAGGAGACCTTTCCTGAATACCTCTCCCTGAACCTTCCACACAAACCCACTTGTTAGTGTTGTACCTTTTTAAATATTTTGCATACACTCTTTATTTACTTATCTGTACACGCAGTCTATCTCACACCCCCTCATCCCAAGAACGTAAGCTCTTTAAGGTCAAAAACTATCATTTTTGTCTCTGTGTGTGTAGTACTTAGTAAAGTACCTTGCACACAGTAGGTACTTAATAAATGTTGTTGAAATAATCACACCATTCTGCTAAACTGTTAAAATAACCATTTCACTACAACAAATCATCTTGTACAACAAATTCATTTCATGGATCTCCAATGGTATAATAGTTGGTTTCAGTAATGAAAGTCCTTGATTTTATGCTTAGTTCATTCCAGTGAGCTGGAGAAGATGTTTGTGTTTTGAGTTATGATAAACTGATTTCTTGCTTTTCTGTTGGAATGGAACCCAGTTTCATGGATAACTTATTTGCAGATTCTCTGAACAAACATGAAATTACATTTTTATAAGTTTACTGAGGGGTATAATGAACATACCTAAATCCTTTCAAAGTGATTTCTGAAAGTCCTCCTATAGGTAATCTTGGTGTGCAGAATGATCAGGAATAGCTGTTGGCAACTTGAGGCAAAATAATTCTTATGCCTGTAATTGGTCTTTGACTGTTTGATATTTTAAACCTCAAAATGTTGGCATTTGAAAGACCCTTAGAGATCTTCTAATCCAAACCCCTCATTTTATAGTTGAAACCTTTTACAATCAGAGGGATAAAGTGATTTAAGGTCACACAGCTAGTAAGTGCTTGACATGGGTCTAGAACAGAAGTCTCTTGATTTACTGACTGATTTGCTCCACTAAATTGGCTCCTTTTATTATTTTTCACTATTATTTTGGTGGTGGTTGTGGCATAAAATGATGTTGCTATAAAGGAATCTCTCTGGGGTTTGATTCCTGATTCACATAATTAAAAGGTAAACAGATAATTGCAGTACTAGAGTTTGTAATGTGGCAATCTTATCCGTAATACCATTAAAAATTAAACTTAAATATGCTGTTACTATTTAGATAATTGTTCCTTTCTTAGAAAAGCATTTGTTAATTGCCTAATGTTATGGATTGTGTTAAAGTGCTGTATTCTGTTTTTCTTGGAATCTTAGGCCTGCAGAAATTCTATCTGCCTTGATTTATCAGTCAATTGTTTTCATGGAAGATTAACAGGAAACAAAGTAGTGAACTGGGACATCAAGGTAAACTTATGATAAATTATAACAGTTTATGAATTTGGTGGTCCTCTGTTAAATAACTTTTGTGAACGTAGTACTACCAATATTATCTGAATTTTAGGTACCAGTCACAATCGGATGTTTTGAATTTACATTCATGATGGCATTTATTGAATTTGAGTAGAGTATTTGTGGAAACATGCAATCCTGATTCACTTGTGCAAGTCAGTGATCCTCTATGGTTGAGTTATGACATCCATAACACATAGATTTAACTAATAGTCTATCTAACAGAAGTATTTTGCCTTGCCTAGGATTTTGCTTATAAGATCTTTTTAGGTATGAATAAAAGATAGTAACTACATTAATGTGAAACAGAAATTACACTCCCTTTCTTCATAGGGAAGAAATGCTTATCTTTTCATTAACAAGAAATAGTGGTTGTCAAGTTAATTTAAGACTGTCAGGCTTTATCCATTAGTTGATGGTCTCAATATAACTTGGACCATTCTGCAAAATTCTGTCCTTTTATATGATTATGATGATGAGTTGCTGACTTTTTGACTCATCCAATTTGCTAAATTTTTACCAAGGGTTTTTGAAATAGTGGAGAGAGAATCTTAGAGTACAGGAACTATATGCTAAAAAACAGTGAGTTATTTATTTTTTTACCTGTTAGAGGAGAAATTTCATTCCTAAAAGAAGGACACAATGCTTTTGTAGTTATCACAATAAAATTCTGTTTCTCCTGGAGTATTCATGTTTGCCATTACTTAAGAAAACTAAGTTCACAAAACTAGCTTTACTTAAACAAGCTGGTTTTTTCCTCCTATGTCTACATTTCTAGTGGTTGCCAGATTGTTGCATTATCACTGGGTAAAAAAAAAATTAACTAGGCTTTTCCCAGTTAGAGTCACAAATAGCATATCATCTAGCCATTTTTTCCTATTAAAATTTATCTTTCTTAAACATAATTTATAAAAATCAGTATAAATTAAAAAATTTTTTTAAAGGAAGGAACCTTAAAGTTTCCATTTTTTTCATTTCCCATATTGTCTGGCACTGTATATTTCCATAGTAGATACTAAATAAATTAATGTCAAATTGTTCACTCCAAGGCAAAAAGCCCTTTCGGTATAGGAGTACACCATCATGACTGACTACTAGACAACATATTTGAACAAAATGAAATCCTCTTGTCAGTATTTATTTTGCATGGTATTTTTATCAAAGTCTGCATTCATAAATTTAAAATGTCTAGTCCTTATGCCCACAGGGCTATTTAATCGTGCATACCCTTTGACCCAGCAATATCAACTTTTAGGTGTGTAATCCCAAAAAGAATAAAAAAAAAAAAGGAAATGGATCTGTATGTACAACAATATTTATAGCAGCTCTGTTTTTGTGGTGGCAAAGAATTGGAAATTGAGGGGGTGCACATAGATTGGGGAATGGCTGAATGGTATATGATTATGATGGAGTACTGTTATGCTTAAGAGAAATGATGAGCAGGATACTTTCAGAAAAACCTGGCAAGACTTACATGAACTGATGAAAAGTGAAATGAGCAGAACCAGGATAAGATTGTACATAGTAGCAGTAATATTGTATGATGATCAACTGTGATTAACTTAGCTATTCTCAGTAATACAAAGATCCAAAGCAGTTCCCAAGCACCTATGATGAAAAATGCTATCCTTCTCCAGAGAAAGAACTGATGGAGTCTAAATGCATATCAAAACATACTATTTTTTACTTACTTTATTTTTTGTGGGTTTTTGTCTGTTTTCTTTCACAACATGACTAATATGGAAATATGTTTTGCATGACTGTACTTGTATAATCTATATTAAATTGCTTGCCATCTTAGGGTGGAAGAGAGGAAGAGAATTTAGAACTCAGAATTTTTTTTGGTTTGTTTTTGGTTTTTATCTAGGCAGTGGGGTTAAGTGACTTGCCCAGGGTCACACAGCTAGTAAGTGTTATGTGTCTGAGGCTGGATTTGAACTCAGGTCCTCCTGAATGCAGGGCCGGTGCTCTATCTACTGCGCCACCTAGCTGCCCCTAGAACTCAGAATTTTAAAAAATAATTGTTAAAAATTATTTTTACATGGAATTGGAAAAAATAAAATATTAAAATAAAAAATAAAATTTCTAGTTTTATTGAACTTAAAATCAATACAAATCTCAATCTTCTAATGCTCATTTTCAGTATGAAATGAATTTGTCTATAAACATTGGAAAATTGTCACTTTTTCATAAGTATGTAAGTACTATAATTTCTATATTATTTTTCATTTTCTAGATAAAATTTACATTTTGTTTTTCAGGATGTTATAAATTGCATAGGTGGTTTGAATGTCCTCTTTCCACTGTTGGAACAAATCAGCTTTTTTGATGGACAGATAACTGAAAAAAATAAGGAAAGTATATTTCCTGATATGATGACACCTGTAGAAGGAGACTGGGTAATATTATCTTCCACAAAAGCTTCAGGTACAGCAACAAGATGGACATAGTTTTTTGGGAAACTGGGAATTAAATAGAGGTTTAATATGTATGTGTGTGTATATGTATGTATATTATATATAAAATGTATACTTATATACACATACACAAAAATAATACACTCATTGCTTTCTCTGATATTTATATTATGTAGATACATGAATAAAATTAACTGAACAAATTGGTTCTTAGTGTACAGTATGAAGTATGTTATAAAATAAGAAAGGGGTGATAAAAATAATTATTATTATGTGCTAATCCTACCCACAATTTTACAGAATCTAGACTAGAGAAGAATTTAATTGCAATGTTTATCTTGGTGGTAAAGCATTTTATTCAGAGACACCCTATCAATCAAGAAAATTTCATCCACTCCCATGGAGTTGCGATCCTCGGAGCTTTACTACAGAAGGTAAGCAAATGTGATATTACATATGTACATATTTACCCGGAAAACAGTTCTGCTTGCTTTTGCATCAATCCAATAGAATTTGTTAAGATTTTTAGTGAATCTGTTTGTGTAGGAATTCCTCTTATTTTACATTATACAGGGTATCACAAAAATCTGTGTGCCATTTTAAGATTTAATAGCTTAAAACTTGTGAGACTATAAGCCTTAATAGCTTTAATAGCTTAAAATAGCACTAAGATTTTGGGGACTTCTTTGTAATGGACAGTCTGTAAAATATCACACTCTTTATTTCATCTCCTAGTGTTGAAGACAGATTTGTCACTATTTAAAGTGAAGGAAAACATCTTGCTTTTGAAAATAATACATTAGAATTTTTTGATTAAAGTTTAAGAATTACTTTAATCTTGAATAATATTTTGTTCATCTGTCTGAAGTATTGCTCTAAGTTGTTTTTATATCTTTATAAACAGAAAAAAGTTGGGAAGGAGCCCGAATGAGTTGGGTTCAACCCCCTCTCTGACACACACTTATTCTGTGACTCTGGCAAGTTAATTTCTCTCTCAGTGCCTTAGGCAACTTACTAAGACTACAGATGTTAAAGGTGGGGACCTACAATGGTAAGGGGAGTTCCCTCACTGGGGAGTTCCCTGTATCAATAAAATCATACAGCTAAACAGTAGTTTATTCAATGCTTTATTCAAATTTATTTACTCTGCAACTTTAAACTTTTCTTTGAACACAATTATTGTTTGGGTTTTAGGTTCCAAGTAACTTAATGGATGTGAATGTATTAGTTGCAGTACAGCTACTAATTGAGCAAGTGTCAGTGGAGAAAAATGTTCAACTTCTGCAGCAAATGTATAAATTTTTACTTTTTGATTTTCGTATCTGGAATCGTGGAGATTTTCCCTTTCGGATTGGTGAGATTAAATAAAATTTACATTCTGTTTGAAAAAAAAGTGTAGCAATTTTACTTTCTTCTTGGATGAATCTTTTAATAACAAATTTTTATTTTAGGTCATATACAATATCTTTCTACAATTATCAAAGATAGCAGAAGGGTCTTCCGAAAGAAGTATGGTGTGCAATTTCTACTGGATACACTTCGGATTCATTATGGGTATGATACCCTTGCTTCTCAGTTTGTATAATATTTTTCCTTCACTACTTAAATTACTGGATTATTTAATTTCTAACAGTTCTTTAATTTTCCATGGTTGTCTCTCACATTTTCAGCTATCACTAGAAGATATATAAAGAAACTACAGTTATTCCAAGTTTGTTTACAGAATTTAAGATGCTGAGATTAAGAGCTACACTTTTTGGTGAAGGTTAAAATGAGTATAGTAATGGAAAAAAGGGGACATGTTGCTTCCCACTCTTTCTCCTGCATCTGTTTATAATGGAGTTTTATTTTGCTAAGTGGTTAGAGTTTAGATGGATTTTTATAGTAAGGGTGATTGGGACTGAAAAGCACTGGCTTCTCATTGTCTTTTATCAAATGTAATATAGACTTTTATCCTAGCATTTAGGGTCCACAGAAAGCTATAGTTTTGGGTGTCATTGAAAAAATAACACTTCATTTTCACTCTTTTACTTTCTCTCCTAAGGACTGGTTGTAAAGAGAGCAGTGAATTATCTCCAGAGGATGTCCAAACAATACGGACATCCTTGTATGGGTTGATCAAATATTTTTTGAGCAAAGGTGCTACCCTGGAAGAAATACAAAGCATCATGGGATACATAGCCGTTATCAATGAAGAAGAGCAGGTACTTTGAGATAAGTGTACTCAAGAGTTTGTATACCAGGTTGCAAAAGTAAATTCTATTTGCTGCCATATTTACTACTGCTCAGTTGAATGAATAATTTTTAACTGGTGACTGCATAATATGAATTTACTAAAACAGATGACATTATGCTTGAGTATGCTAGCTGAGAGATAGAAAATAATGTCTTAGCAATAGAAGTTGATTGGCAGCAATGATTAGGTCTTTCTCTTCAGCAGTTCTTCATGTGAAATATGTTTTGATTAATCTGCTATTCAATTAATAAAAAGTATTTATATATTATGAATAATCAGGAGATGTAAAAACCAAATTTTATATTAGCATGGTATTCATGATTAGCAAATATTCATTAGAAGGAAAATTGTAAGTTTACATTTGAGTTTTAGCTTTATCTTATACTTCAGACCTTATGCCTTATAAACTCATTTACATGGTACTTCAGAGTTTTTCTTAGTAAGCTCCCCATTTAATCCTCATAACAGAATTGTGGAGGGATTTACAAATATACTGATTTATAGATAAGAAAAATGAGGTTCACAGCATTTTGTGGTAGGACATGGCCTTAGAGCAGGGATTATAAACTTTTTTGCGTGTTATGGACTTATCAGACAGTCTGGTAAAGCCTACGGACCCCTTCTCAGAATAATGTTTTTAAATAAGACAAAATACACAGGATTACAAAGGAAACCAATTATGTTGGAATATGGTCATTAGAATATTTAAAAAACAAGTTCAGGTACCTCTAGTTAAGAACTCCTGCCTTAGAGCTTATTTGGTCCAAAACCTCTTTGTTTTACAAGTTTTGAAACTGCAGTTTAGTGATTTGATGCAAGTCCTATGTTTAGTAAATGCTAGAATAAAGAATGGAAGACAGATGTGACTGGAATTCAGCATGTTTTTATTAAGTACCTTTTATGAGTAAATTGCTCTCTTAGGCACAGAGTATAACAAGATGAAAAACAATATAGTTCCTCCTGTCAAGGAATCTCATAGGTTAATAAAGGAATAAATGCATAAGCCAACCAGCAACCTCAGTATAAAGTTAAAATACTGTCAGAGTATTCAGATGGACAGTGTTAAAAGATTTAGGGAGAGAGGCCATTATTCTGACTAATGGGATGGGAAAGTGCTTTTTCCACTTTACTAATCTTTTTATCAATTATATAACATGCTACTACCAATTTGAATAGGCTGCGTGTGTATTTAAATATTTTTACCCTTTTGTAATTGTTATTTAACTTTTGTTGCACATTCCATTGGAAAATGGCCCCATAGTAGGGGCTGTCGGATGAATTAGTTTCAGCAGTTAGGTCTAGGGACTACAAAATAATAATCTTAGAAGTGATATCTGCAGCTTTCCCCTCTTTCTCCAAAGGTACTTACTTATAGCTAACCTATATAATAACATACTCTCTCTGCCATTGTACAAGCTGTCCCCCCATGCTCTGAGTATCTTCCCTTACCTCTCCCTCTTAAAACCTCCAGTTTCCTCCAAAGTTCAGCTCAAATGTTACCCCCTCCATAAGGTCTTTATTAATGTCCTTCAATATTAATGCTTCTCTCTGAAAAGAAATTGCTTTTTATTTTGTACATATCTCTGTGTGTCCAGAGGTAGCTGGTGTGACATAGTGTTTAGAGCACTGGGTGAGAGTCAGACATGAATTCAAATGTAACCTCAGGTACTTACTAACTGTGTGACCTTGGGCAAGTCACATAAGCTCTGTTTGCCTCAGTTTCTTCAACTGTAAAATGGAGATGATAATAATAGTATCTACCTCCCAGGTTGCTATAAAGATTTAAGGAGGTAATATTGGTAAAGTACTTAGCACAGTGTCTGGTATATACTGGTGCTATATAAATCGTGTTTCCTTTCTTTCTGCAGCACTTCGCAAACCTTAAAGCACTCTATGAATGTTAGCTATTATTATTGCATGCTTTCTCCTACAGTAAAATATGCAACTCTTGAATGCATGAATTATTTTAGTTTTCTCTCTGTATCCTTGCGCCTCTCACAGTGCCTGGCACATAGTAAACATTTAATAAATGTTATTGATTAGTTGAGGACAGTATTGCCTTAAGAAACAGCATATTTGCTGCTACTTGTTTTTCCTTCTCTGTCCTAATGATCTCATGAGAAGTTAGTGAAAAGTTCCCTCTGGAGTGCTTTTGAAACTGGAAGGTCATCTGTGGAATGTGTGTTCTTTCACAAAGTAGCCTAGGTTCAGAGAGGGCAAAACTGATAAAGCCACCCTGTGAGGCTTAGGTTTAAGGTTGTCTTAGGCCTTTGGTTAGTGATAATGATGTAACGGAATGAGAAGGAATGGCACTCTTATTCTGTTTGGCTTAATTAATTTTTCCTAATTATCTGTTAAGAAGGGTGAAAACCATTGCACCTCCTTCTGCCTCTAATCTCAAAAAGTAAACCCACGTTCAAGGAATGATGGAGAAACATTATTTTTCCAGACTACAATGGTGATATTGTATGTTATGAAGGATTTTTGACTCATTTGAAGAACTCTGATATGGATTTTGATTTATTCAGATGTTTTACATGTTTTTGTTTTTTATTAAAGCTCTTTGGAATTTTGGATGTACTCTTCAGTCTGCTTCATACCAGTCCAGCACGGGATCAACTTTTCTTACTACTCTTTGAGCCAGGAAATGCTGATATACTCTACGTCTTGCTGTTAAATCAGAGATACTCCGACAGATTAAGAGAACTGATATTTAAGGTACTGCTATTATTTACCACATGCTGTGTATTTGGGAACATAAAAAATTATAGGTAAAATAGGTAGGAATTTATATGCAGCCAGTGTAACGGACCGCCTTGGAGATTTGTAAAAAGGGATTCATCCTTCATGTAAGTATTTGAAAACCCTTTTACAAGTCCTGCATTTTAGTTCATTTTAAAGTTTAATTCTTTTCTTAAAGTTTTTAAAAAAATTATTACATTGTTGTCACTTCCCATTAACAAGCCTCAACCACAAGTCCTATAACTTATAACAAAGTATAGTTAAATAAAACAAATTGATATAATGCTCATTTCTGATAGCATGTGGCACATTCATAGGATCATAGATTTACCAGAGAGTTTACAGGCAAGAATAATTTACTCTGTACAACTGAGTAGAATCCTACAAGGGAAAACAATGACTCTTTAGTGAAATAGGGGATTCCCAAGTGTTTCTGATGAAAAGAATCACATCTGTATAGGAACTTTGAAGTTCAAACCCCAGAGTTAAGTGAAACACATAAAGGTAAATATGAATAAACAATGATAAAAGACTGAAAAAGGATAAGCCACGTACGTTCTGTCTTGGAGTGATGATGTCTGTCCCTTCCAAACCCTGTCCTCATCAGTAGTCACATAGGCAATCTCATTAGACAGAAAACCTGGGAGTGGTTCTGGCTATGCCTTAAAGATCTTAAGAATGGCAAGAGGAGGAAGAAGAATACAATCAGGGGTGAAGGGAAAGGAAGATTGGGGAAAATAATCTTATAATTAGAGTGTGCAAGTAGACATCTGTACAAATGAGGAAAAGGAGGAGGGTAAATTGAACCTCATTCTTATTTGAGCTGGTTAAAGGAAGAAAGAGTATACACACACACATTTGGGTATGGAAACATAATTTCACTCAACAGGGAAATAAGGAAAGGAGTAAAGAGAGGTAGAAGAATTAAAGGGAGTATAAAAATGGTAAGGATTATTCCTGAGCAAAATGAACTCTAAGAATGTACAAAAATATTGATAGTTCTTTTAGGGGTAGCAAAGAAAGGGAATCTGAGGGGGTGCCCATCCATTGGAGAATGGCTGAACCTGTTGTGGTATATGTATGTGATGGAATATTATTGTACTATAAGCAATGATGAAGAGAAACCTGGAAAGACATATATAAACTGAGGTAAATTGAAGTGAACAGTTCATACAATAATAGCATCAAACAACTTTCAAACACTAATCAGCATGATGACCAACCACAGTTTCATAGGACTAGTGATGAAACATGCTAGCTACCTCCTGATAGAAAGGTGAAAGACTCAGTATAGAATGAGATATATTTTTTTTTGGATAAGACCAATGTAGAAATTTGTTTGCTGCACAATAAATGTTTTTGACAGGGGTTTTATTTTTATTTTGTTCTCATTTGTGTGTTTGATGGGGAGGGGAGTTTGATGTGAGAGGCAAAGGAGTAAGATTTTTGCTGATTAAGAAAAAATTAAAAAATGTTTACGGGCTGAAGAAATTGGACTTAAGTGACTTGCCCAGAGTCACACGTTGGTGAGTGTTATGTATCCGAGGACACATTTGAACTCAGGCTCCTCCTGACTCCAGGGCCAGTGCTCTATCTACTGCGCTACCTAAAATTAAATTAAAAAAAAAAGATTCTGTGATTCTTCTAGAGTTCAATCCACAGCTCTAAATGATTCTTTTCTCTTATTCTTTGCCAACTTGAAGCTGTCATTTCTATTTCTTTTCTGATTCTGTAAATAGTAAAATATTAGCTGTGAACTCTGGATTATTTGCAAATGTTTTAACTCTTTAGCCAGATTGCCTCAGATTTTAAATTCTTCTTGTCTTACCTTCTCTTGATTTAAGTTGTATCTGTGTGGCAACCCTAGAACACTTAAAAACTGAAGATGGAGTTATTATTCATGATGCCTATGATATTTAAGCGTTGGCTGAATCCTGAAGATGGAGTTATTATTCATGATGCCTATGATATTTAAGCGTTGGCTGAATCCACTCTCTTTTCAGTAGCAAAAAATAGATTAGTCATCTGTATTTGTAAAATTGACAGAAAATAACTTAGCCTTCTATACATTTTGCCTGATTGTCTCTCTCAATATCATTGGAATGACTGTATTAAGCATTCTTAGGGCCGATTTTGAGTTGACATCACCAGGGTCATATTTGAAATGAATAAAAATGGAGTAGAGTAGAGGAGCTCAAAGGGGCTTTTGGGAGCATTGATTTGGAAACTCCTCTGAGACTGTCTTAAAAGACTGGGGTGCAGAGGGTGAGAGGAAGGTATGAGTGCAAATGGAGCCATTGAGGTTTGATTATAATGTTAGCCAGTCAACACTGTTCATTTTAAGTAGATATACTTGAACACGTGATTTATGGCATATTGCTGTTATCTCCAGGGAAGGTTGGAAAACTACTAGCCCTGTTTTTTTTTTTGAGGTAATTGGGGTTAAGTGACTTGCCCAGGGTCACACAGCTAGTAATTATCACTTATCTGAGGCTGCATTTGAACACCTGACTCCAGGGCAATGCTCTACCCACTGCCCCTTAGCGCAATTTTTTTTGCAAGTAAATTGATCTAATCATAAAATTGTTATCTCAACTTTGAAACAGTTTGCTGCTGTTTTGTAAGTAGATGAACAAAATGGCTCACCATGGTGATCTTTGAAGGTTGCTTTATTTCTGCTACAACTTTCAGTACTTTGGAATCTTCTATTTCCCCAGTCTTAGACAGTAGGGAAGATTCTTTAAAACTTTATTGTCTTTCAACTCATGCTCCCCAGGAATGTGAAAGGCAGAATTTTGGCTACAGCTATTTTCAGAAATGAGTACATAACAAAATGTTTCAAAGTGAAACTGCTTGGGGGAATGAAATTTTGCTCTAATAACAAATTTTATATTACAGGAGTGAAATGTCATTATTTTATTTTATTTTATTTTTTTGCTTTTAGGCAATTGGGGTTAAATGACTTGCCCAGGGTCACACAGCTAGTAAGTGTCACGTGTTTGGTCTGAGGCCATATTTGAACTCAGGTCCTCCTGACTTCAGGGCCGGTGTTCTATCCACTGCGCCACCTAGCTGCCCCTATTTTATTTTTTTTAATGAAGTTTTATTGATACCTTCCCACAGAATTGAACCCTTTGTGTAGCAAAGAAACAGGTGAAATTAAAAACTATCAGTATAGTGACCACATCAGACTCCAAATCTGCCAAGAGGAGGCGGATGTGTTGCATTGTTAGTTCTTTGGGACCAAAATTGGTTATAATCTTCACCAAGAGTTAGCTTCCTCTTAGTTTTCCTTTATATTACTATAGTCTTTGTGTATATTGTTGTTCTGTTTCTATTTATTTCATTTTGTATCAGTTCATTTGCTTCTTCTGATGTATCTCTAAATTCCATATGTTGTCATATGTTCCATTACGTTCATTACCATAGTTTGTTCAAGTAGTCCCCAATTGATGTATACTCATTTAGCTTCCTTTTCTTTACTACTGCAAAGTCATCCTATTAATCTTCTGGTATATTTTAGGAATAAAGTTTTTTCAAAAACATTATGTACTAATATTGCTATTTTTTTCCTGAAGTGATAAATGAAAATCCTTTCACATGTCCTATATTTTAGTTTATTTTAAAATGTAATTCTTTTCTTAAATTTTTTTTTAATTATCACATTGCTGCTGCTTCCCATTAACAAGCCCCAACCACAAGTCCCTTTCCTTGTAACAGTACAGTTAAATAAAACAAAATAACACATTGTTCATTTCTGATAGCATGTGACACATTCATAGGATTATAGATTTAGGAGTGGAAGGGACCCTAATGACCTTAGAATCCAATCACATCATTATACACGAGAAAAAGTTAAGTAGTTTGTCTAGGCTCATACAGCTAGTAAACATCTTAAGTGGAATCTTATCTACTATACCATTCTACCTCTGGTCCATCTCCTCTCTACAAAGAGTAGAACAGATATCTATTTTATCACATGTCCTCTGAAGTCAGAACCAGTGATTGTATTCATCTGAATTCTGTTTCTTTTAGTCTTCATTTCCTTTGTGTTAGTGTGGTTGTTGAACTTAAGTTTTCCAGAAAGAACTAAAAGCATTATTTTTGTTTCTTACAGATTATAGAACAGATGCTGAAATGCACTAAAGTCTACGAACGAAGTAAACAGCGTATTCGACTTAGAGACGTTGGTTACTCAGGGCTGGGGCTCCTTCTGAGTGAAGTACCAGTTAATGTTTCTCTTATTAAAAGCCTTTTTAACCAAGTCCTAAATATAGGTATGGATAAAAAAAAATAATACATTTAAGTCGTTCTCTTAATAATAAGCCTTTAAGTGTAGGCCTGATGATGGACTTCATGTACTGCTGTGAAAAGATGTCATAACCTTGCTAAATTTAAAGAAACTCACCATCTGGTTGGCTGAAGGGTGAAGACTATTGAGCAACTCTTCAAGACTCCCACCAAAATTAGATTCTTGAGGTTGAATTGTTAGTAATAAGATTAGAGGCATATTTGATATTGCTGAAATGTTTAATCTTGCCCCTGGGCTACCTTTTAAGTTACGTATACTCCACACATATTAGTTCATTCAGTAATGTTACCCCTTCCTTACTGCCAATCAGAATGAGTTTCCATAATTAAAGATCATTAAGGAATACTAAGGAACACTACACTTTCCTTGAAGGAACCTAAATTCTTAGGGATGAAATTAAAAGATCCCCTTTTGGTGATTCATTCTCTTTAACACTAACCCTAAATTCATTAAGTTTTTAAGATATTTATTTTTACATTTATTGAATATCTGTAATGTATAGAATACTGTGTTAATGACTGTAGACCATGGCTGCTATAGGAGTTCAGAGGAGGGAATATCTGGTATATTTCTGCATTTTTTTTTGGCTTTTTGATGAGGCAATAGGGATTAAGTGACTTGCCCAAGGTCACGTAGCTACTAAGTGTCAAGTGTCTGAGGTCAGATTTGAACTGAGGTCCTTCCAAATCCAAGGCCGGAGCTCTATCCACTGTGACACCTAACTGCCCCGATATTTCTACATTTTAACTAATAATTATAATTGTTATATATAAAATATAATTCTATATTTTATTTTATAAAAGTAATCGTAATTCTCCCATGTTTTATAAAACTGCTCTTCACATGTTTTTGTTCATCATTTGATTTGATATCTGATTTTTTCTCACCCACAGATACTGTTGTAAATTTCAAAGATCTGTTGTCTGTAATGTACATGTCTCATAAAGCAGACACACATGTTAGAGTGCCTATGTGCAGAAAGGTTAGTAAATTTTTAAAAATTTATTTATTTTTGGTTTTCAACATTCATTTCCATAAGCTTTTGAGTTTTAAATTTTCTCTCTCTCCAAGATGGCGTGCGATCTGATATAGACTCTACTTATACATTCGTATTAAACATACTTTCACATTAGTCATGTTGTAAAAAAAAAATTAGGACCAATGGGAGGAACCATGAGAAAGAAGAAACAAAACAAAACAACAAAAAAAGAGCAAATAGTATGCTTCAATCTGCATTCAGACTCCAAAGTTCTTTTTCTGGATGTGAACAACATTTTCTATCATGAGTCTTTTGGAATTGTCTAAGATCTTTGCATTGCTGAGAAGAGCTAAGTCTATCAAAATTAGTTATTACACAATGTGGCTGTTACTCTTTATAACATTCTGCTGGTTCTGCTCACTTCACTCAGCATCAGTCCATGCAAGTCTTTCTAGGTTTTTCTGAAGTCTGCTTGCTCATCATTTCTTATACCATACTAATATTCCATTACATTCATATACCACAATTTGTTCAGCCATTCCCCAATTGATGGGCATCCCCTCAATTTCCAATTCTTAGCTGCCACAAAAAGAGCTGCTATACATATTTTTGTACATATGAGTCCTTTTCCCATTTTTATGATCTCTTTGGGATACAGACCAAGAAGTGGTGTTGCTGGGTCAAAGAGTATGCACAGTTCTCTAGCCCTTTGGGCACAGTTCTAAATTGCTCTCCAGAATGCTTTGATCAGTTCACAACTCCACCAACAATGTATTGGTGTTCCATTTTTTCCACATCTCCAGTATTTTTCATTTTCCTCTTTTGTCATGTTAGCCAATCTGGTAGGTGTGATATGGTACCTCAGAGTTGTTTTGATTTGCATTTCTCTAATCAATGGTGATTTAGAGCATTTTTTCACATGACTGCAGATAGCTTTAATTTCTTCATCTGAAAACTGCCTGTTCATATTCTTTGACCATTTATCATTTGAGGAAAGGGTTAGTAAGTTTTAAGGCATTTTTAGACATAGCTGTGGTGTGCTGTGGGAGCCACTAGATTTTATGTTCTATTGGCTTACTTACAGTTATTATATTTGTAACTCTTGGTGTTCAGATATGAACTCTAATACCTTGAGTTTTCTAAGGAATGTGTTAATTGTTTTAGTGTCAACCTTTCTAGGGAATGACTTTTCAGAGGACTAGGATCTCACTTTTTATGCTCCATTTTTTAGTCCACTGAAAATTTCTTGGGAAAAATTCATTTGCCTCACCCTTTTGTGAAGTTTATTACCAGGGTTTAGATTACTATAGATGAATGTATTGTGAGTTTATAAAGGATGCTCTTGTTTTTATATCACATAGGTTAAAAATTTTCCTTCCAGACTTGTTTATGTAGTTCATATACTTTAAATCTTGGACTTGTGGGAATGAATATATTTCTTAATCTTAATTTTATTTTCATCTTAACAGAAGTGAATAAATGAAAAAGTATTTATTAAATGTGTACTATGTTCCAACCACTGTGCTAAACCCTTCCCTCAGAATTATTTTTTATTTATCTTGTATTTACTTACCTTTGTTCTTTCTCTTCTCCTCCTAAGATTCTAGATGGGAAATGCTTAATAAATGCTGTTTGAATTGTTACATTAGGACTGATAAGGGTCTAGATAATAGGTAGTTGTCAAGAATAGCAAAGAAGATTATATGTGGAAGACATTATTTCAAAGAGAGAATTGAAAGTCTTGCTTAACAGATTGGGTATAGTGGATGAAAGATAGGGAAGCAATTCTGGGTGACTGGTGAGATTAGTGGGTATCATTTATTCACATGGGAATTTGAGGGTATAGGTTGATGAATATGATTATTTTGGTTGTATATACACCAAGTTAGTTTTGCTCTGTTTACTTGATGTGTACTTGCCACACACTATTTAAATTTGTGTAAGTAAACCCTACTTTATAGCAAGAAATAAATTGATTTTGTTATTTATAATATATAACTTTATACATCACAATACTGTGATTTAAAATTTCATATTAAATTCATAAAATTATTTTCTTAGCATGTTGGATATTAGGATTGATATTTTGTTTCAATTTTCATGACTGAAAATAGGATTATTAGATTATAATGGTAGTATAATATACATCATGTTGTTTCCTCGTAATCCTTTCCCAGGTTTTACAAATACTGCAGGCCCAACCAGATGCAGCTCAACAGATTTCTCAGCAAGTAGGATGGCAAGAGACCTTGGTTAGACTTTTTCTAAAATTAAATTTTGTAGATGGAAATGGACTCAAGAACAGCAAGACTGATTTTGTGAAGGAAGAAGACAAAAAAAATGCCCCTGAAGATCCAAAGAAGTACTGTGATGAAAAGGGAGAAGGGGAGAAAGTGAACTCCTTTGTTGTAGCTACTGAAGCTTTTGATCACTGGTGCTTGGAGGAAAGACAGTCTCTAGACTCTAACACCCACCTACCACTAGATGACAGCTCAGTGGCAGAAAACCAAGAACTGTGGCTCAGTAATTCTTCCCATCTAAGTTTGGATCTCACCGGGATTGACTCACTGGAATTAAGTGATGGTGGGAGTCAAACACTAGACAGTTTGCCCAGCACACCATCTCCCATAGAATGTCCTTCTAAAGCATTTTCTGTGCAGCTTGACAAGGAGTGCAGTCTTACAAATGACATGGGATTCACTGATGACCTTTCACTATTTGAAAGTCAAGAGGTAAGAATTATTTTTTTCCATTTAGATACTTATTTGGAGACAGAAATAATTTTTGAATATTACTTGTATATTATAACATTTTTCTTAATTATTCCTGGCTTTGAAATAAGTGTGGCAAGTTGTGAAGATCAAATGAGATAATGTACGTAAAGTACTTTGTAAAACTTAAAGTGCTATAGATAAGTAAATATAAGCTATTATTTCATATAACATTAATGCATTGAATACTTTCTAATTTTCACAAGCCCAGAAATTTAAATCTCAGTTTACTCGTTTCATTAATAATGGCATAATACCTGGCACATTGTAGGTAATTAATAGATGCTTGTTGACTGAAAAATCCATTCTTTTTAGCCATCTCTACTAGCTTTTGTCCTATATTCCTTGAAAGCGCTCTCTTTTTTAATTTTTTTTATTTTTTGAGGCAGTTGGGGTTAAAGTGACTTGCCCAGGGTAACACAGCTAGTGAGTATCATGTGTCTGAGGCCAGATTTTAACTCGGGTCGTCCTGACTCCAAGGCTGAAGCGCTATCCACTGCACTGCCTAGCTGCACCTTGAAAGAGCTTTCTTAAACTAAGTGCCTCCACTTTCTCTCCTCTCGTTCCCAAACCTTCTGCATTTTGGCTTCTGACCTTATCATTCAGTGGAAACTGTCCCCTCTGAAGTTACCAGAGATTTCTTGGTTGCCAAATCAATCCTGATCCTTCTTGACCTCTCTGCAATGCTTGGCACTGTTGATCAACTTTTGGATATTCTCCTTTGGGTTGTTTTGACACTGCTGCCTCCTGTTTCTGCTCTTACTGTTTTCACTGCTTCTTCTTAATCTCCTTTGAATCCTCACTCAAGCCATGCCCACTAACTCTGGGCATTCTAATGCTCTGTTTCGGGCCTTAGTCTCTCTTGGTGAACTCGTCAGCTCCCATGTGTTCATTGATCATCTCTTGGCAAGATAATTCTTCCGTCTACATATTCAGCCCTCGTCTCTCTCCTAAGCTTCAACCCCATATCACCAACTGTTTTTTGAACATCTCAAAATGGTTGTCCCATAGGCATCTCAAACTTAGCATGTCTAAAAGAGAACTCATCATTCTCCCCCCCTTCCTCTCAAAAAAAGCCCGAACAACCTTTCCTTTCCCCAACTCTCCTATTACTGTCAAGGTCTTCCTAGTCACTCGTGTCCCAGACCTCCTTGGCTTCATTGACTTCTCACTCAGATTTATTCCATTTATCCAATCTGTTATCATGTGCTGTCATTTCTACTTTTCTAAATATGTCCCTATTCTCCACTTATACAACTACTGTCCTAATTCAGGCCCTCATCACTTCTCATTTAGACTAGCAATAGGATTCTGATTGATCTTCCTCAAGCCTGTCACCACTCCAGTCCGTCCTCCACTTAGGTACCAAGGTGGTTTGCCTAAAGCTTTTGTCTGTCTGTGTCACTCCTTTACTTAATAAGCTCAAGTTATTCTTTGTTAGCTCTAGGAGCAAACATAAAGTCCTCCATTTGGCATTTGTAGTCCTTCACAACCTTCTCCCTTCCCACCCTTCCAGCATTCTTCTACTTTACTCCCCTCCAAGTACCCTGCTCTGCAGCGACAATCCCACTTGTCCTTCTTTGTTTGGGACACCCCATCTTCTAAGTTTGTTCCTTTGCACTGGCTACCCTCCATGCCTGGAATTCTCTGCCATTTTCCCTCAACATCTGAATTCCCCTGGCTTTCTTCAAGAACCACTTCACATCCTTTCTTCTAGGAGGCTTTCCCCAAATTCTCTTCCTTACTCCCACCTTTAGTCACTGGTAGTGCCTTCCTTCTGCCATCTTGTTTCATCTACTCTGTATATATCTTGTATGTATATAATTATTTACATATTGTTTCAACCATAAGAATTTAAGCTCCTTGAGGACAGGGACAGTGTTTCTGCACTTTTTTTTTAAATCTCTAGCTCTTGGCACAGTGCCTAAAGCATAATAAGTACTTGTTAAATGCTCAGTGATTGGCTTTGTGACCAGGTTTCCTTTTAGATGCAAGTTTGTGAAAAAATTCCACAGGCATGGATTTTTTTAAAACAAATTTTTTTTTCCAAAGCAGATAGATTGAATATTTGTTAAACTGTGTGCCAGGCACTGTGCTAAGTATTGAGAACAAATACAAGCAAAAAGAAAGATAGTACCTGCCGTCAGGGATCTTATATTCTGTTGGGGGAAGACAATAAACATAAAAGGGAGCTGAAAATCTGGAAGTGGAGCAGCTGTTAAATTACTTGTGCAGGGACAAGGTGGAGAGGTAATCTGGGATATCGTGTGCTTTTCCAGATTTGAAGAAAATATGATGGCTGATGATGGTGCTTCCTCAAATGGGGGTTTGTGGAGAAACTTACTAGTGAGAGGAAGAGGCAATATCATCATTTGTTTTTGCAATGTTTATATATTAATATTATATTAAATCTTCATGTGATAGTTTTTGGCTATTCTCCCAACTTGCATTCATGGTTTGGGTACTCTCAGGGTACCTTCAGCCTCATGTTGAGTTACATAAGAATAACTCTAAGGGTCTGTGTGCCTAACGTGAGTTCATGAACCCCTACCAGTGTGTTTCTATTTATAATCAGCCAGTAGACTCAATAAACTCTTAGCAAAGGCATTTATAAAAAGGTATTGTAGAAAATTAGATACCAAATATTTCTCCTATAAACCTTGGTCAAACTATCCTACAAATGAAAGAATAGGCTCAAACTTTTAGAGTATAATGCTTGTGAAGAACTTGTATAGGTATATGTATGGAAAAAATAGTTCACAACTCCTGGACTGTATTGTCTGAAAGTAAGTTCTCTCTTCAAAGTATTCTCACACATCTTGGATACAGTCTGGTGGGTGGTTTGCCCTGGTGGGTCTAGTAAGTATCTGAGGCTGTATTTGAAGCCAAATCTTCCTGATTCCAGGTCCAGCACTCTATCCACTGGGCTAGTAGCTGCCTCTGTAAATGATGAGATTTTACAATTGATTGGTTACTTAGTGTGAGGCAGAGTAAGTAGTCATGGAACTTTAGAGTTGGAAGAGACTTCAGAAACTATGGTCCAGCAGTGGGGAAATCTGGGAAACATATGAAGGTTAAACACAGAATGAACTTGGACAAAACATTTGAGATGCAAAGTGGACAGATGCAATTGAGACAGAGGCATTTGTCACTTTGGTGATCCCAGTATCCTTTTTACATACCCAAGTAACTCTTTTAGCCTTCTCCACCTAAAACCTAAAAGGACTCAGGCCTGGATAGCTATCCAAGTTATGATAGAATGATAGTTATATTTGAGCATTTTTAATCTTCCTTGATTTTAAAGTCTTTGAGCATGCTGTCTGTGATGTGTTAATTTTTGTGACCCTTTCCCACCTCTTAGCCAGGTATCTGCTAAGCATACTGTCTTCCAGAGAGCATGCACACTCGATATATGGTTAATGTTGAATGGATGAGCAAATGCCTTCTCTCTTCTACTCCAGCTAAACTACTTCTTACCATTTACCATTTTAAATCTAAGTAGGAAAAAATTTGAAGTAGGTACTACACTTTTCTGCTCTTTGGAAAGTCTGGTCTCGTTTTGAACATACCAAGGATGAGATTTCTGTTACTCTCTAACTCCTTCCCTGTTACATAGTCTTAGGTAATAATCTTGCTTAAAAGATCCCATGCTGTGAAACTGAAAGCCGCTGAAGAAACACAATAATTTCTTAGGAAGAGTACAGGCATGTGAATGTATATATTTGTGCAGATGTACATAAATCTCTGCTGCATTTTAAGTGCTTTATGCATAATCAGTAAATAGGCATTTCTTAATATCTAATTGTTAATATTGTCCTGGATATTTAGTAGACATCTAAAATTCAGCGTATCCAAAATGGAACTCATTATCTTTCCCCTCAAATCCTCCCCTTTTCCTTACTTCCCTATTACTCTTGAGGATACCACTGTCCCTCCCATTCCACGAGCTCACAACCTGGGTGTCATCCTCTACTCTGTCTCTCATTTACCCCATATCTATTCAGATACCAAGGCCTGTCGATTTTACCTTTAATATTTCTCAAATACACTCCCTTCTCTCTTCTGACACTACTACCATTCTGCTGCAGGCCCTAATCACCTCATACCTAGACTATTGAAGTAGTCTGCTGGTTGATCTCCCTGCCTCAAATCTTTCCTCACCCCAGGCCATCCTCCACATCATACCCCTTACTCAACTCCAGTGGCTCCTTATTTAGTCAGTCAGTGAGCATTATAGGCTTAGGTGATTCCCCAGCCAGCCATCTCTTCACATTGAACATCTCTGTGATGCCCTCAGGAACCTCATCATCCTGAAAGATCACTTCAACCTTAGTATTCTAACATCACCAGTGCTCTTTTCCCTGGGACCCTTCTGATTAGAGGGTAGAGTAGAGTGGGTCTTTCAAAACCTCCATTTAAGGAGGTTGCCATCTTTTAATTTCCCACTCAGCTGCACTTATTTGGACTTTCCCCCACCTTTGTCTTCTATTAGATTATAATGTCCTTGAGGTCAGGGAAGATTATCTTTTTTGTATTTGTATCACCAGCCCTTAGCACAGTGCCTGGCACATAGTAGGTCATTAATAAACATTTGTTGATTAACTCATTGTTTACCATGTGCCAGGCACTGTGCTAAGTGCTAGGAGTACAAATTCAAGCAGAAAGACAATCCTTGCTCTCAGGAAGCTTAAGTTCTCATAGGGCAAACAATTCATAAAAGGAAGAAAAAAAGGGGGTGTGGTAAAGAAGATACCCAGAATGGGACCATGGTGGAGAAAGTCTACAATATATCCTGGAGAGGAATGAGACATGTCTGGTGTGGGCACCTTCCTATTTAGGAGTTTTTGGTTGGAGCCATCTAATCAGAGGGAGAAACCACAGTAATGAAGGATACTTCAAACATGTGAATTCCAGGGCTGGAGTGAGCTTCCAGCATGAAAAAGTTCCTAGTTCATGGTAGAAATGGTCCAGAGTACAGCTCCCTTTTTGTTACCACCTCCAGGATCAAATAAAAAAAAATCCTCAGTTGATCAAAGTCCTTCATAACCTGTCCCCCCTCCCCCACCTTTCCAGTTTTCTTGTACCTTACGTACTCTCTCCCTCCACTTATTCTCTGGTCCAGCAACAGTGGTCTCGACCATTCTGTTCAACAAAACTTGGAGCATTTTTCTTGGCTGCCTCTATGCTTCAAATTCTTCCCTCCTCATCTCTGCTTCTTTGCTTTCCTAGCTTCCTTCAAGTTTCAACCAAAATCCCATCTTCTGCAGGAAGACTTTCCCCTATCCTCCCTTATTTCTGGTGCTTTCTCTCAGTTGATTATCTCCACTTAATGTTGTTTATACATAGTTGTTTGCATGTTGTCTACCCCATTAGACTAAGTGACTTCCTTGGAGCAAGACTGTTTTTTGGCTTTCTTTGTATCTCTAGCACTTAGCACAATGGCCTTGAATAAATATTTACTGACTCCTAAAAGAGACAATTTTAGTATCTTATTAAACCTATTAAACCTGACTGCTATAAGTGTTTTGTTGGAAGTATAATGTAAAAGTATACTTTTGATTAGTCTATTAAATAAAAATGCAAAAAACCAAACCTTTTATGTTAAAACGTGTATGTTTTTTATAAATTATTCTACACCAGAACAATTTTTAACTTTGGCTTTTTTTTCCCCAGAGATGTGAGGAAGAACTCCTGGGATTAATGACAAGCATTCTGAGTTGTGTAATGTGCAGGGGACTAGAAAGGTCAGACGATGCTGCTTGGATTGAAAGGGGCCAAGTACTTTCTGCTCTTACTAAACCAGGAATCTCCAGTGAGTTGCTTAGGCCTCCAGAGGAAATAAAACTATGGTAAGCAATCGAGAAATGATATCTGTCTCACCAGACCATATTTTACAATTGTATCTAATGTATCAAGTATTTATTTATCTTTACTATCTATGGAGGAGGAAAAAAGAGAGACTTAGTCCCTTAGAGGGACTTGGTCCTTGACCCTTTCCCCTGTCATTCTGTAGGACTCAGTGTAGGATCTTTCTTAGAAGAGAGATGGCAGCCAAGCGAGGACACAGACTGTGATACCTGAGGATCAATCAGATGAACTAGAAATCTTCAGGCAAATGAAAGCAACATGATTGTTGTTTCTCATAAAAGTATTCTGTAGAAAAGAGATTCGATTTTATTCTGTTCAGCCTCAGAGGGTAGAATTTAGGACTAGTGAGTAGAAGCTGCTGAGAGGCATGTTTCAGTTGTGTGGGGAAGAACTTCCAGACAGTTGGTCTTCTGAAATGGAATGGCCTGTCTGGGACAATAGTTCCCTGATACTGTACAGGATGTTGTTAGACTATGAGTTTCTAGCTATCTGAGAAAGGCTAACATTTATGTAGCACTTTCTGTTTTGCAAAACCCTTTACAGACGTTTGATCTCATCTTAACTCTGCAGTGTAGCTTCTAGAGCAAGGGTGAGGAACCCGAAGTCTTGAGGCCACATGCGGCCCTCTAGGTCCTCAAGTGCAGCCCTTTGACTGAATCCAAACTTCACAAGGGGGTTTGTGTGAAATTACTATTTATATTGTTTTCTTGGCTTTTCTTCACTCTGCATCAGTTGATATAGGTATTTACGTGCATTTCTTTTTTTTTTAATGGTGCCAATTTTAAATAAATTTTATTCTCCAGGACAAGAATTGCATTTTCACTTGTTTACAGTCCTGAAAAAATATAATGTCCTTCACTTCTTTTCCTCTTCACACATTCAAATATTCAGACTTCCCATATTTATACAATAGTTTAAATGTTACTTCTAAACTACTACTGCCTTGCCTAAAAATTTGAGTCCTTCACTTTTTGGAAAGCTGTGTGGAATGCTCTTCTGGTGCATGTAGCTGACCTCTTCAATGGTCTGCAAGATGCACTTACCCCCCGGGAACCCACCAGCCTGTACTCTGGTACAGTAATGATGGGGTTGCAGATATTCTCCAGTTCTTTCTGATGATGCTCATCTTCTTTCTCAGAAGTTTGGTTCTTATCCAGCTAGTTGATTATTTCATTATTTCATTTTGTCAAGGATCTTCTGTTTGTCTTCATAACCAGTTTTGCCTTGGAGTCTCTCGTCTTCTATAGTAGCCTTCATGTTGAAAGTATAAGATTTAAGAGAATTCTTGGAAGATACCTTGTCTCTCTGCTTCTTATCTTCAGCCCTGTATTTCACAGCCTTCTGGACCATATGCTCAATGTCTTTGCTCAGATGACCTTTGTCATAGGTGATTGTGATCCTGTTCTCCTTGTGTGCGCTCTTATCCACAGCAGAAACATTAAGGATGCCATTTGCATCAATGTCAAATGTTACTTCAATCTGAGGAACACCCCTAGGAGTGAGGGGCATTCCTATAAGCTCAAAATTGCCAAGTGGGTTGTAATCCTCTGTCATGGCTTTCTCATCTTCATAAATCAGACTGGTTGTCAGAGTAGGTGGTAAGTTTGTGTCTGCTTGATGGAGGATGGTGGTATTGCATTTGACCAGGAATGTCAAAACTCCACTAGCAGTTTTAGTTCTAAGGGACAGAAGAGAACATCTGGGTTTGTCTTCAGAGGAGGATAGTGAAGTAAAAAAAAGCCTCTCCTATGCCAAAGAATAATATCACATGGTCTCTTGCCCCCCAAAAAAATTCATGGAAGAACTTAAAAAAGACTTTAAAAGTCAAATGAGAGAGATTGAATAAAAACTTTAAAAAAATGAGAACAATCCAAGAAAAACAGAAGATTATGAAAAGAAAGTCAACCAACTAGAAAAGGAGATCCAGAATCTTAAGGAAGAAAACAACTCCTTGAAAATTAGAATTGTGCAAGGGGAGGCCAGTGAGGTTATAAGAGACCAAGAAACATTAAAATATAAAGAATGAAGAAATAGAAGAGAATATGAAACATCTCATAAGAAAAGCAGTTGATCTGGAGAAAAACATAAGAAGAATCAGACTACCTGAAAGCTACAATAAAAAAAAAAGAATCTTGATAGAATAACACAAGAAATAATTAAAGAAAATTGTTCTGCAGTTTTAGAACAAAAGGGGAAAGTAGAAATAGAAAAAAATCCACCAGTCACCACCTGAGAGAGATTCTATGAGGAAAACCTACAGGAATATAATAGTAAAATTCCAAAACTCTCAGCTCAAGGATAAAATATTATAAGCAATAAGAAAAAAAACAATTTAAATATGGTGGTTCTATGATTAGAATTACACAAGACCTAGCAGTGGTAACACTAAAATACTTCAGGTCTTAGAACACTATATGTTGAAGAGCAAAAGAACTGGGGTTGTGGCTGAAAATATCATGCCCAGGAAAATTAAGCATAATCTTGAATAAAAAAAATGGACATTTAGTGAATTCTCAGACTTTCAGGATTTTGTTCAAACAAACAAACAAACAAACAAACATGAATTTAATAGATGATTTGACATATAAGATCCAAGAGAAATGTAAGGTACATATCAAAGACAAATTACAAGGGACTCAATAAAGACAGATTGCTTACCTTTTATACAAGGAAATGCAAAATATATGTCTAAGATTCTTATTAATAATTGGGTAGTTCATAAGAAAGATTGGGGTAGACCTGAGTATGATATGATTTTAAAAAGTAAAACAGTTTAGGAACAGGTAAAAAAAAGTAATTGTTTTATACAAATGAGGTGCAAGAGGAAGAACTGACACAGAAAAATTAGATGTGGAAGAAGGGCTAGTAGTTCTGAAACTACTTTCATCAGGCATGGGTTTAAGAGGGTAGAACGGCATAAAAGTTTTCTAAATTCAGAAAGATATAAAACGCTAAGGGAATAGGGAGGGGAGGGGAGAGAGGATAAGGGAAGGATTTCTAGAGGGGAGGGTGAGGGATTAGGATGAGAGAGGGTAATAAAAGGGTGTTTAGATTAATGGGAATGGGAAGACAAGGGAGGGATCCATGGAGGCAGGGTAGGTTAAGTAATAGGAGGGCAAGGTAGCAGTTAGAAGTAAAGTAGAGGAGTCAGGAGGGATAGGAAATAAGAGATACACAAACAAAATAAAGATCAGGAGTAGAATTTATTAGGAAAAAAAAAGCAGTCATAGTAATCATGATCTTAGACAAAATTAAAGCTAAAATAGATTTAATCATTAGAGAAAAATAGGGAAACTACGCTATATGTCATCCATATTAATGAATATTGTTTTAGATTATTTAAAATAACTAGACCACAAAAGGAAAGGATATTGCTGTGGTGTAGGAAATGATGAGTTGGTGGACTTAGAAAAATATGGAAAGACTCTGACTTATGAGGGAAGAGGTTATCCATCCTTACAGAAACAGAGGACAAAGAAATACAGTGCAGTCTTGCATAGTTGCATATGAATGTATATGTCTATATATATTATAGATATCTAAGTATATGTATGTGTATGTCAGTGTATGTGTGTATATACATGTATATGTCGTTATGTGTGTATATATATATGTTTGTATTGTATATGTATGGATGTGTGTATGTATATACGTGTGTGTGGTGTGTGTGTGTGTGTGTGTGTATCTGAACTCAACTGTAACTTCTGGGAGAGGGGAGGTGGGAAAAAGGGGAGAAAAAAGAACAAAGTAAAAAGTGCACAGCAGAGAACAAAAGAAAACCTACAAGGAAGCAAAGAGAAGATGGACAGCTCTGAACACAAGTAGTATTTATTATATAGGCTTTTTTGAAATGGAAATTTATTGCTGTATACTTTGAATCCTCTCAAGTTTTACTGTGCACATTTGCAGTGCTTTCTTATTTTGTATTTACATGTTAATATTTAAGTGTATAATATATTTATTTTTCTTTTCTTATTGTGTATTTAAATTTTGGTACATAAGTTCAATATAAATTAATAAAAAAACTTTTTAATTTAATATACTCAAAATTATCTATTTTACCTTCTGTGATCCTTTCTATCTCTTGTTTAGTCATAAATTCTTCCCTTAGCCATAGATCTAATAGGTAAAATTTTCCAAGTTCCCCTAATTTGCTTATGATGTCACCCTTTATGTCTAAATTGTGTACCCATTTTGACCTTACTTTGGTAAGTGTGTGAAAAATTATGCCTAGTTTTTGCTGAACTGCTTTCAAGTTTTCCCTGCAATTTTTGTCATACAGTTAGTTCTTGCCCCCAAAGTTTGAATCTTTGGGTTTACCAAACACTATGATCATTTACTACTTTGTATTATGTACCTAATTATTCCATGGTCCACCACTGTATTTCTTAGCCAGTACCAGATTGTTTTGATGATTACCATTTTGTAATGTAGTTTGAAATATGGCATTGCTAAGTCACTTTCCTTCATACATTTTTTTCATTGATTCCCTTGATATTCTTGACTTTTTGTTCTTCCAGATGAATTTTGTTGTGATTTTTTTCTAGCCTTATAAAAAATTCTTTGGTAGTTTTGATTGGTATGGCACTGAATAAATAAATAAATTTTGGTAAAATTGCTGTCTTTATTATATTGGCTTGGCCTATCCATGAGCAACTAACATTTCTCCAGTTGTTTGATGTCTTTGTGAGAAAAATGTTTTGTAGTTGTGTTCATATAATCCCTGAGTTTGTCTTGAGAGGTAGATTCCCAAGTATTTTATATTGTCTATTTTTGTTGTTCATTCGTTTGAATTGTGTCCAACTCTTTGTGACCCCATTTGGGGTTTTCCTGGCAAAATTACTAGTGGTTTGCCATTTTCTTCTCCAACTCATTTTACAGATGAGGAAACTAAGGTAAACAGAGTTAAGTGACTTGCCTGTGGTCACACAGCTAGTAAGTGTCTGAGGCCAGATTTGAACTTAGGAAGAGCAATTTTTCTGACTTTAGGCCTACCACTCTATCCACCATGCCACCTCTGCACTTATTTTATTTTATTTTATTTTTAGGCAACTGGGGTTTAGTGACTTGCCCAGGGTCACACAGCTAGTAAGTGTCAAGTGTTTGGTCTGAGGCTGAATTTGAACTCAGGTCCTCCTGATTTCAGGGCTAGTGCTCTATCCACTGCGCCACCTAGCTGCCCCCTCTGCACTTATTTTAAATGGAATTTCTCTATATGGAAATGCTAATGATTTTATATCCTGCATCTTTGCTAAGGTTGTTAATGGTTTTAGCTACTACTTGTAATGGCTTTTAAGAGGATTTTGTTTTCTTCTAGTTTGCTGCAGAAGATGTTAGAGTGGGCAGTTGTGGAAAACAGAGAGGCAAAAATTAATCCAGCAACTGCAGAAAATGCCTTCCGACTTCTGCTCATCATACAGGATTTTCTGCAGACAGAGGGACTACTTAACTCAAATCTGTGGACTGAAAAGGTATAGTAATATCTCTTGAAATTATTTACTTTGGGGGCATCTAGTTGGCATAGTGGACAGAGCACCGGCCCTAAAGTCAGGAGGACCTGAGTTCAAATATGGCCTCAGACTAAACACTTGATACTTAACTAGCTGTGTGACCCTGGTCAAGTCACTCAACCCCAATTGCCTAAAAAAATAAAGAAAAGGAAATTATTTACTTTGAGACTTCAGTCAAGTTTTTTTTAATTGTTTGGGAAGATAATTATTTTTTAAGCAGATGAGAGAGACATCAGAGAAAGTGATATAAAGCATTCTATTAATTTTGATTATTTTACCAATGGGATTTTTCCTTTGGTCATTGATTATAAACATTGTTGTTTTTTTTAAATTTACCTTATTTTTAAAAATGTTTTTAACATTCATTTAAAAATTTTTGAGTTCCTAATTCTATTAATCTCTCCAGCCCCTCTCCTAGCCATTGAGAATGCAAACAGTGTGATACCCTTTATAAATATGAAGTGATACAAAACACATTTCCTTATTGCCCATTGCAAAAACAATAAGAAAACAAAACACAAAAAGAATAAAGTAAAAAAGAAATAAGCTTCAGTCTGCACTTAGAGTTAATAATTTCTCTCTCTAGAGGTGGATAACATTTTTCATCATGAGTCTTTTGGAATTGTCTTGGAGCATTGTATTAATCATAGTAACCAAGTCTTTCGAAGTTGATCATTGTTACAATATTGCTGTTACTGTATACAATGTTCTTCTGGTTCTTTTCACTTCACCTTGTATCAGTTCATGTAAGTCTTCCCACTTTATTCTGAAGCCAACCCTCATCATTTCTTACAGTGTAGTAGTACTCCATCACAATCATATACCACAGTTTGTTTAGCCATTCCTTGCTGATGGGCATCCCCTCAGTTTTCAGTTCTTTGCCACCACAAAAGAGCTGCTATAAATATTTTTTGTATGTATAGGTCCTTTCCCATTGACTATAAACTTTTGACTAGGTTTCTTATATTTGTACTAAGTACTAGTTTTGGGGGGGGAAATTATTTTCAGGAAAATAAAGATAACTTTTTGTTTCTCTCTCTTTTTTTTTTTAACATTAGCTTTTAGAAGACATGATGCCTGTCTTCGATAGCTTATCCATTTGGTACTCTGATAGCCCAGAGTGGGTGAAACTTTCTCAAATTCAAATCCACTTGCTTCTGGGATTCATTGGGACAGATAATTTGCAGGTTTGTAATTCTTAAAGCATTAAAGCTTGGAAAATTCAAAGGCAAGTATAAGAATTCAGCTCTTTGGACTAACGCCTTGATTTTCACAATTTATTACAATCAATTAAATTTACTTCCAAATGATTAATAAATAGCATGTGAGGAAGATATTCTATGGGTTTTATAGGACATATAATCCTGTTCACATCTTTTTAGTTAGGTATTACGTCTTATGGGAAAGGAATTTTTTGACTACTTATTTTTTCCATTCTAATTTTTCCTTTTCAGCCACAAATTTTTAGTTATCTAGTCCCTGAGAATCCTTATTTTATTTTTTAGCTTAAATTAAATGTCTTTTCTAAAGTCATCATAGAATAATGATTATGAAAACCCTTCATTTTACCTCTAAAATCTCTTTATTTTTTATGACTGGTTCAAAAAGACTAAAATTCACATTTGTCTTTTAACAGAATAGATCCCAACTCTAGTAGAATATTTTATCACTAGGATTCTAGTAAGAGGTGATAGACTAAATATGTAAAATGTGACACATTTTTGGATAAGGCCAATGTGAGAATTTGTTTTACTTGATTATGTATATTTGTTACAAGGGTTTTGTTTTTTTTTCTGTTTGGAAGGGTGGGTGGGTAAGAGAAAATAAAAGCTTAATTAAAAAGTTAATTGACAGATTGCATGCCATCTGGAGGTGGGAGGTGGGAGGCAGGGAGGGAGGGGGAGAAAATTTAAAACTCAAAAACTTATGAAAGTGAATGTTGAAAACTAAAAATAAATTAATAAAATTAAAAAAATTTAGAAGTTAATTGATAGAAGTTATTTGATTTGTTTCAAGTTAATTGAAAAAAGAAAGAAACCCAGAATTAATTTTAAAATATTCTAATAATAATCTGGAAAAGGCTATTTTCTTTTGCCTGTATATAAAATGCAAAGTTTTACAAATTAAGCTAGTAATATATATGTAATGTGGGTCTGGCTAGGAAATTTCGAAATGTTAACAACCATAATATAATACAGCTAAAATAACTAGCTTATTTGTCATGCATTTGACTCCATCCAGTTTTTAATTGAACTCCATGGGTTAACGTAGTACTATTTTAACTTATGGATGTCCTCAGAGATTTGCCGGTTAACCTTACAAAACCTGAAAAATCCTGGGCTCTAAAAGCCTATGGAGTCTGAATTCTTTTTTCACTTAGTTGAGGTTTCTTTGCTGGAACACCATAGACAGTGTTAAAGAATGATCTGTAATTTAGATTTTTCTTTTTCACTAAACAAACTCTGGGATATTTTAGACCAAAAATACCTTGAGGCTACTTTGTTTCACTTCCGGACTTAGAGCAACTGTGGCTTGGTCCCGTCTTGTTTGATTCAGTGCTTTTATCTTTCTGTTTTATTATCATTCCTAAATGCCTGTCAAGGATCTTACCATGATAAAAAACATGTCAGAATATTAATCCAAATGTTCATGGATTGAGAGGTAAAATCCTACTATAGTTTTGCCCTAAAGAAATGGTCAATTGAAGACATTTCATAGGTGTTTACTGGTGGAGTTTTTATTTTTAATAAGTATAAGTCTTATAGCCTTATTTGTTTTTCTTTACATTGTCTGGTAGGTTTGTGCCATGGCATCAGCCAAGCTGAATACGCTTCTTCAGACCAAAGTGATTGAAAACCAAGCTGAAGCATGTTACCTGTTAGGGAAGTTGGAACCAATCCTAAGCCAGTCTATCAAGGAACAGACAGAAACCTACTCATTTCTGATTCCCCTTTTTCGTACTTTGGTGTCTAAAATTTATGAGCTGCTCTTTATGAATTTGCACCTTCCCTCGTTACCTACCACCAATGGCAGCCCCTCATTTTTTGAGGATTTTCAAGAGTACTGCAATTCAAATGAGTGGAAAATTTACATTGAGAAATATGTAAGTTTTAACTTTTCCATGGAAATTTAAAAAACTAAATTACTGTTATGTTAGTGGTGTATTTCAAACTTGGGGTGATTGTTCTCTTTTGCTCAAGATCATGCCATATATGAAGCAGTATGAAGTTCAGACATTTGGTGATGGCTGTGAGTCTATGGCACTTTATTGGAAGGACTGTTATGAAGCCTTAATGGTCAACATGCATAAACGAGACAGAGAAGGAGGAGAAAGCAAACTTAAATTTCAGGTAATAATTGCTAGATATTTTTAGATACTGAAAGTATTCATGCTGAATACAAACAATGTACAAAATAAACATGTTTGAGGAATATCCAGTGGCCCAGTTTTCCTTATCATCATCATGCATAGAGTAAGTAACTTTTAGTAAAGCCTTAGTTTTTGCATCTATAAAATGGGGGGTTGGGGACAGTGAGCAAGTGGCCTCCTTGGTTCCCTCAGGCTTTAAGTCAATGTTCCTTTGATCCTAGAGGCCAGAGGTTTATAGACTGTGCAGAAGAAGCATTATGCCTGCATGTATTAGATAATTTTTTGAGAAAAGAGGTAGGAGGTTCAATCTATAGTGACCACCAAAATAAAAGTCCCCAAAAATGTAATTGATACTGTATAGGAAGTGACTTATTCATGTGAGTCATTTTTGATTCACCTGTCTTATGTAAGTCAGACTACTACCAATTTATTGGAACAAAGATGAAAATTAATTCCAAATTACAAGAATTGGTAAAAGTGAGAAGCTGCAGCATGCAGTTTAGGCAATCCTGATTTGTGTGGTACCATGTGGTGACATAGGGCACATAGTGCCAAGTCCTTGGCACTGTCAAATCATTCTTCAGAAACTGGTATCATTTCATTAATAGAAATGACATGAAAGAAGAAGCATTACCATCTACCAAAACAACAGTGAAGCCTTACCATCTTGAAGCTGAAACCTTCTATATGTGTTATCTTCTACATTAGAATGTGAGCTCCTTGAGAGCAGTAAGCCAATATATCAGTGTTATAATGTGACACTAAACACTAAAGGTCACCTGCAATTTTAAAAGGCATTATTTTTTACTTTAGGATTTTTTTGTGGAACCGTTTAAGAGAAAGGCACGTCAAGAGAACTTACGATATAACAGTATGCTTAAACAACTTAACCATCAACACTTAGCCACTTTGAGGCAGTGGAAGGCAATCCAGCTTTATCTGACATGTGAAAGAGGTCCTTGGGCTGAAAGGTAGGCATAAATCATTGACATTTTTATTTGAGAATAGTGGTCCTCCATATATTTTTCTAGTTATATCCCAAAAGAAAGGTTAGGTCTAGTCCAGCAAGAGTTGTTTCATTGCTTTGTTTTTCTCTTTGTGAACCAGAGGCACACAAAGTAAAATATTCCCTTTTTGTTGTTCAGTTGTTTTTCACTTGTGTTCAACTCTTTGTGACATCATTTGGGGTTTTCTTGGCAAATGTACTAGAATGGTTTGCCGTTTCTTTCTCCAGCTCATTTTACAAATGAGGAAACTGAGGCAAACAAAGTTAAGTGACTTACTCAGGGTCATACTAGTGAGTGTCTGAGGCCAGGTTTGAACTCAGGAAGATGAGTCTTCCTAACTGTTAGCCTAGTGCTACCTAGCTGCCCAGAATATTCCCTAGGATCCTTCCTAATTCTGACTTCCCATCTCTGAAACCCTACATTCCATAATACAGACTGATTTATAGAGCTTGGACACTTAAAATTATGTCTGCTATGTGAAGTAAGAAAGAAGTCTAGAGTGCTTATCCTGGTGCTTCCATTGAATAGGCTTTGGGTCAGAGGCATCGTCTATGTCTTAGATGAGAGAGACAAGGAAATGGTCAGGTAAGAGACTGTGAACTTCAGTGCAGACAGCTATTTAAAATGCTAAGATATGGAGGAGAATCTTTCCGCTTTATACTCTTTGGAATAGCAATTCACCCTACCAGGTGTGTTATCGCATATTTTCAGAAACATTGTCCTAGCAGTCTTTTGTACCTTATAATAATCAGCCTATTCTTATTAATTACCCATTTCCTTCCATTCAGATTTCATTGATTAGTTATTTTATATTTGGAAGAAAACTTTTCAAAGTTCTAATTTTAATGATTGTGGTTAAATTATTATTGCAGCTTGCAAAAGAAGTGTCTCTCAGTAAATAGTTATATGTTAATGGTATTATATACTTAAAGGGGCAGCAAGGTGATGCAGTGGAGAGAGTGCCAATCTTGGAGTTAGGAAGACCTGAATTCAAATTCAGCCTCAGACACTTACTAGCTGTGTGACCTTGGGCAAGTCACTGAACCCTGTTTGCTTCAGTTTCCTCATCTGTAAAATGAGCTGGAGAAATGGAGAAACCACTTCAGTATCTTTGCTAAGAAAACCCCAAATAGGGTCACTAAGAATTGGACACAACTGAAAAACCACTGACCACCACCAAAAATTACGTATTTAAAACAGCTGAGCCCAGAGAGAGTCTGTTTTCTTGACTTGAGGATGCTTCTAGTTTAGGATCCTTAGGTTCTTTCTTTTTTGCAGTTCCTTGACTCAGTATAGCCATTTTCATACGCTAGATTGCTAGAGTTACTGAATTTCTGTTTTGACATGATGTAATATGTCCTCCTGGTCCTCAGCACGTTGTAGTCCCTTTCTGGCAGTACTATTTTCAAATAGTAATACTACATCATTATTACTTGTTAGTAATACTTTAAAGATAAATGTTTTAGTTTTTCAATGCTTAATTATTACCAAATACAGTGCTACAGTTTTCAACTAAATTTTCCTTATGTAGAATCCTCTGTATTGTCATATCAATTTTTAATCTTCTTAGGAAACAGAATATTATTCACTGGAAACTTGCTAATGTGGAAAACTATTCTCGAATGAAGCTTAAATTGGTACAGAATTATAATTTCAACTCTCATTTGGAAGCCAGTGCTTTGAGGGACAATTTAGGTAAGTTCCAAAGTCTCTCATAACTTTTGTTTTGATGTCATTCATTTTGTTTAGGAACTGAGAAGCTGACTGGTTTTGTCAGTGATAGATATTTTGTATTTTAATACTGTTTAAAATTTCAGTAACACCTTTTTTAAGTGAGTTTACTTTTCTGTTCAAATGACTTTCAAACTTAAATGTAGCCTTAAACTCTTCCTTTACAATCTTTCATTTCCAATTGCCTGCTAGATATCACCACATGGGTATTCCATGGGCACCTCATACTTTTCATTATCAAAATTGTAAGTACATCATCACAGAATCATAGCATCTTCAGGTCCATCTGACTCTGTGTTGATCAAACCTTTGCTTGAAGACCTCTAGTAAGAAGAAACTAACTAATTGCTTTCCAGAGCAGTTCATTCTACTTTGAAGTAATTTCCACTTCAGTCATCAAATTTTGAGTTAGAGAGGACTTTAATACTCATCCTTACTTAGGATAGTGAGAAAATTTAATGAAAATAGCTCATTCTGTATCTTTCCCTCTGATTGACCACTAACTTCTAAAATTTACAAAACAAATATATTCCCACACTTGAAGGTAAACAAAAATCCCCTGACAACATCCTTGAGAAGTGGAGGATATTTAAGTGGCGCGGTGGATAGAGTGCTAGACCTGGGGGTAGGAAGATGTGGGTTCTAACCTGACCTTAGATACTTACTTAGCTGAGTAACTCTGGGCAAGTCATTTAATCTCTCTTTGCCTCAGTTTCTTCATTTGTAAAATGGAGATAAAAATAGCACCCACCTACCAAGGTTGTTGTGATAATCAAATGAGATTTTTGTGTATCACTTAACATAGTGCCTGACATATAGTAAGTGCTGTATTTAATGTTAGTTTTCATCATTATCATCATTTTTGTTATTATTATTATTATTATTGTTATTATTAGCCTTTGCCTGAAGACCTAATAGAAAACAACCTGATATCTCCTGAGGTACACCCTTCTACTTTGTAATAGTTATAATTGTTAGCAGATTTTTAGTTTCTTTTTTTACATATAGCCCAAATTCTCCTCTCTCAAATTTTTATCCATTTCCTTTAGAATAAAGGCTAATTCTCAGACTGTCAGTGGCTCTCTTAAAATGTGCTACCCAGACATGAAAACGGTACTCTAAATGTATATTGATCAGGGGATAATTCAGGAGTATGACCTGTCTAGTTATTAATACTCTTTCATGATGCACTTATGATCACATTAGCTTTTTGGGCTGTCATAATCACATTGTTGACTTTCTAAGCTTGTAATCCAATAAAGCCCACAGCACTTTGGCAGATAAGATACTAGTCATGCCTCTCTAAGCTTGTACTTGTGAAGCTGATTATTTTAATCCAAGTGTAAGACTTCACATTTATTTCTGTCAAATTCCTTCTTATTTGAGTCAGCATAATATTTTAGCCTGTCAGTGTTTTTGACATACTGAATGATTGTCATCTATCATCTTTCCTCTTACATCTATCTTTCCTTTTAGTTTTCCTATTTATGTTTATGGCACCTCCCTTTTCCTGGCCTCAGGCTCTAACTCTGTGTCATCTTTGGCTCTTCCTTTTCCCTACGTCCCTTCACTCCCACTCCCATGTTCAGTCCCTCCATTCAGTCTGTCCCCAGGTCCTGTCTCTTCTACCACAACATCACATATGTCTGGTTTTCTCCATACACACTGCCATCATCCGAGTTCTTTTTACTCTTCAGGAATTTTATAATATTCTGCCAACTTTTTACTGGCATTTCTTAGCTGCCATTCTCATCTTTTTGTAATCCATTCTTTGCACTTCTTCCTGCATAATCTTCCTAAAGCCACAGATCTGTAACCAGCCTAGCCTATGTAAAATCCTTAAGTTGACTTCTTTCTTATCTCTGCCTTACAGAATCTTTATCTTCTTTTAAGCCTCAATTTGTGTACGTTCTGCATGAAGCCTTTTCTGATTCTCTTAGTTTCTTTCCCAAATTTTCCTATATCTTTGCTTTATTCCCTTACCTCTCTGTCTTCTATAGTATGGTCATCTATATTGATCTTTGGGTATGCTACCACTCTAAGTAGAATATAAGCTTCTTGAAGGCAGAGTTTAGGATCAACTTTTTATCACCAAGTTATAGCGTAGTGTCTTAAACCTTAAGCAGATATTTAATGTTTATTGAGTTGAATTTAATTGCAAGAAAAATAATTTTTTTCTTTTTTTTTTAAAGAAAAATAATTTTTTAAAACCAAAATTAGACTTAATCAAATTAAATAGTCCTTTTCTTCCTCTCTGTGACAGTAGAGTAGTGAGATTAGGCTTCCCTTCTCCCTTAACTTTTGTTTTCTGAACCTGGAACTAATAACAGTTACTCATACTGAACAATTTAAAAATATCTGTTCCCTTAGCAGACATCTCAAACTTGTCTTTTAAAACATGTCTTCTGTCACAAAACACTTTACAACTTAATTTACTTTTCTAAAAGGGACCAGGGTCTATTCTATTCACATATTCCTGAGCCTTCTGCTCCCTACTCTTCTTTTTCTAAACCTTCTACTTTGTGTCCTCCCATTTCTGGAGACACTTCCCTGAACTTTTCATAATGATGGCTGTATAGGAAGTAACTGCAGCCGTCCTACTGCTACAGGTGGTCATGCTTGCAGTAGGAATCTGTGCTGAGCCACAAGCAGCCTTGACTTGCAGAAGGATTCCTAAGTTCCTGGGTTCCGTGACTGCAAATTTAGGGCATGGTGTTTTTTTTTTTAATTTTTTGAAAATTTTATTTTTAACATGTGTTTTTAAAACTTTGGGTCACAAATTTTCTCCCTTCCTCCATCCCCACCTACCCACCCTCATTGAAAAGGCAAGCATCTCAATACAGATTATAGATTTGTAGTCATGCAAAACACTACCATAGTAATCATGTTGTGAAAAACTAAGTATATTTCCCTTCATCCTATCCAACCCCCTATTTATTCTATTCCCTCTTTTGACCCTGTCCCTTCTCAGAAGTATTTGCTTTTGATTATCCTCTCCCCCAATCTGCCCTCCCCTCTATCAACCCCCTGCTCTCTTGTCCCCTTCTCCTCTTATTTTCCTGTAGGGTAAGGTAGATTTCCATACCCCATTGTGTATGTTATTCCCTCCTTAAGCCAAATCCTACGAGAATAAGATTCACTCATTCCCTCACCTTCCCCCATTTCCCCTCCACTGTAAAAGCCTTTTCTTACCTGTTTCATGTGAGATAATTTACCCCATTCTACTTTTCCCTTTCTCTTTCTCCCAGTATAATCCTCTCTCACCTCTTAATTTTATTTTCCAGATATCACCCCTTCATTTTCAACTCACCCTGTGCCCTCTATCTATACATACATACAATTTTTTTCCCTCCCACTACCCTAATACTGACAAAGGACTCATGAGTTACAAATATCATCTTTCCCTGCAGGAATGTAAATAGTTCAACCTTAATAAGTCTCTTATGATTTCTCTTTCCTGTTTACCTCTTGCATGTTTCACTTGAGTCTTGTATTTGAAAGTCAGATTTTATATTCAGCTCTGGTCTTTTCCTCAGGAATGCTTGAAAGTCCCCTATTTCATTGAATGACCATTTTTTACCCTGAAGAATTATACTCAGTTTTGCTGGGTAGGTGATTCTTGGTTGTAGTCCTATCTCCTTTACCCTCCGGAATATCATACTCCAAGGGCATGTTGTTTTTGAAATATTATTTTCTTGTAAAAGATTTCCGTTTGGAGGGGGGCTCAGTACATGTGGGTTCTAGATAAAATTAAACTTGAGAGACAGTGTCTGCTATGTAGGAGCTTATGTTTTACAGAATCACAACACTAAGGAAGTATTTTTTTTTCTGTTCTTAAAGGTAACATTCTTTCTAAAATAGACCAAGAGTAGCAGCATTTATTAAATGCTTGCATAGGGATGGCATGGCAGCAGCAGGCCACATTCTACCTCTAATGTATACTGGCTGTGCGATTTTGGGTCACTTTCCCTTTCAGTACCCATCTAGGCAGCTCTCCTACACTCTGAGTTGAAGGAAAGGTGGGGATCTGCATTGCTAAAGTTCTCTTTACCCACAAAATCATAGGTCCACTCCCCACCTCGGTGTAAAAGGCACTGCGCCAGGTATGGGGAATGAATAGATGAAAACAAGCTTAAAATGATCTTCAGGATATGATTCTTCACCCAACAGCAAGAGATAGAAAGAGAAATCCCATTTAAATGTACTGTAGACATTATAAAATATTTAGAAACAAACCCAGGAACTCTATGAACACAATTACAAAACACTTTTCACACAAATAAAATCAGATCTAAATAATTGGAAAAACATCAGTTGCTCATGGGTAAGCCGAGCTAATGTAATAAAAATGACAATCCTACCTAAGCTAATTTACTTATTCAATGCCATACCAATCAAACTACCAAGAAATTATTTTATAGAGTTAGAAAAAATATAACAAGATTCATTTGGAAAAACAAAAGTTCCAGAATATCAAAGGAACTAATGAAAAGAAATGCTGGGGAAGGTGGTCTAGCAGTTCCAGATCTTAAATTGTATTATAAAGCAGCAATCATCAAAACTGCTTGGTACTGGCTAAGAAATAGGGAAGTGGATCAGTGGAATAGGTTAAATATGCAAGACACAGTAGTCAATGACTATAGTAATCTATTATTTGATAAACCCTGTTGCCCGCAACCAGATTGTACACCGAACGGAGAGGCGTGAAATAACTTATGACATGGGCCAGGTGGAGTAGAATTACTGACTCAGTTTATTCATCTGAGGGTATAGGATATATAGAGAAAATCTAGCCTAACTTCAAACAGTCCTCCCCGTGAGATACTTCCCAGAACATCTGCTGAGGATGTGACGTGAATTTCCTCGTTATCAGAGTTCTTAGATTGGGTTGTATTTTCCAAGGTTTTCCCAGGTGCCTTGGTGCCACCTGCATAGAGGAGTGAATGTGTAAATCTAAGGTTCAA